TGGCTGTGGTTGTGGTTGTTGTTGTTGTTGCGGTGGTTGTGGGTTGGTTGTTGGTGGCTGGTTGTTGGTTGTTGGTGGTTGGTTGTTGGTTTTTGGTTGTTGGTTGTTCGGCCCATTTTGTGCCATCTTGGACCCATGTTAGCACATCTTGGGACTATGTTAGCCCATCTTGGGCCCATGTTGCGACAATCTTCCTCTGCGTAAAGACCTCTCTGTGTAAAAGACTTCTCTGTGCAATTGCGTCTGTGTGTGAAAGATCCCCTGTGTAAAGGCTTCTCGATTCTCTGTGGAATTGCGTCTGTGTGTAAAAGATCCCGTGTGTAAAGACCTCTCTGTGTAAAAGACTTGTCTGTGCAATTGCGTCTTTGTGTAAAAGATCCCCTGTGTAAAGACTTCTCTGTGTAAAGGACTTCTCTGTGCAATTGCGTCTATGTGTGAAAGATCCCCTCTGTGAAGACTTCTCTGTGTAAAAGACTTCTCTGTGCAGTTGCGTCTGTGTGTAAAAGATCCCCTGTGTAAAGCCTTCTCTGTGTGTAAGAGACTCCTATGTGCAATTGTGTGTAAAAGATCCCCTGTGTAAAGGCTTCTAGTGGAAAAGGCTTCTCTGTGCAATTGCGTCTGTGTGTAAAAGATCCCCTGTATAAAGACTTCTCTGTGTGAAAGACTTCTCTGTGCAATTTCGTCTGTTTAAAGATCTCCTGTCTAAAGACTTCTCTGTGTAAACGACTTCTCTGTGCAATTACGTCTATGTGTAAAAGATCCCCTGTGTAAAGACTTCTCTGTGAAAAAACGTCTGTGTAAAAGCTCCTCTGCGTAAAGACTTCTCTGTGCAATTGCTTCTATGTGTAACAGATCCCCTCTGTAAAGACTTCTCTGTGAAAAAGGCGTCTATGTGCAACTGCGTCTGTGTGTAAAAGATCCCCTGTGTAAAGACTTCTCTGGGTAAAAGACTTCTCTGTGCAATTGCGTCTGTGTGTGAAGGATCGTCTGTGTAAAGACTTCTCGGTGTAAAAGGCTTCTCTGTGCAATTGCGGTGGTGTGTAAAAGATCCTCTGTGTAAAGACTTCTCTGTGCAAAAGACTTCTCGGTGCAAATTGTGTCTATGTGTACAGGACCCCCTCTGTGAAGACTTCTCTTTTTAAAAAACTTCTCTGTGAAAAAACGTCTGTGTGTAAAAGCTCCTCTGCGTAAAGACTTCTCTGTGTAAAAGACTTCTGTGTGCAGTTGCATCTATGATGTGTAAAAGCTCCCCTTTGTAAAGACTTCTCTGTGTGTAAAAGACTTCTATGTGCTATTGCGTCTGTTGGTAAAAGATCCCCTGTGTAACAACTTCTCTGTGCAATTGCGTGTGTGTGTGAAAAACACTGCTGTGTAAAGACTTCTCTGTGTAATTGCGTCTATGTGTGAAGGATCGTCTGTGTAAAGGCTTCTACGTGTAAAAGGCTTCTCTGTGCAATTGCGTCTATGTGTGAAAGATCCCCTCTGTGAAGACTTCTCTGTGTAAACAACTTCTCTGTGAAAAAACTTCTGTGTGTAAAAGCTCCTCTGCGTAAAGACTTCTCTGTGTAAAAGGCTTCTCTGTGCAATTGCGTCTATGTGTAAAAGATCCCCTCTGTAAAGACTTCTCTGTGTAAAAGGCTTCTCTGTGCAATTGCGTCTATGTGTAAAAGATCCCCTCTGTAAAGACTTCTCTGGGTAAAAGACTTCTCTGTGCAATTGCGTCTGTGTGTAAAAGATCCCCTGTGTAAAGACTTTTCTGTGTAAAAGGCTTCTCTGTGCAATTGCTTCTGTGTGTAAAAGATCCCCTGTGTAAAGACTTCTCTGTGCAATTGCAGTGTAAAGATCCCCTGTGTAAAGACTTCTCTGTGTACAAGACTTCTCTGTGCAATTGTGTCTGTGTGTAAAACCCCTCTGTGTAAAGACTTCTCTGTTTGTTTGTTTTTTTGTGTCTAAAAACTCCTGTGTGTGGAACCTTCTGTGTGTGAAACCACCATCTCTGGTTTTTCTGACGTTTGCCAAGGCGCCAGCCCAAGAGCAAACCTGCTGTGGGGAAGAACACATCAGACTGTGGATATATATATATACACGTATATTTGACATTTGACCAACATTCATCGCCGTCAACATCGCCACCATCATCACCATCATCATGTATCATCATATGTTCTTGCGTATTGTCTTCGCGTCTCCTCCCTCCTGCTTTCTTTCGGGCCGAACTGTTGTCTAGTTGATGCCGTTTAGAAAACAATTTAAAAATCAAGGTCCAATTTAAACGTTCTACCCCTCCAGGAAAGAAACTAGTTAACCCGGGTGATGTTTAATTGGGGTCCGTCATTGAAAATAATCAGTTTTTTGGTTTTAAGTTGAATATTATGGATTTTTTTTTTGAGATCCAATTTTTGGCAATATTTCATTAGATTCAAAAAAGGAGTTTGTTGATTTTCGAATCGAACATTTTCGTTTATTAAGGTTTTCAATTTGATATTAGGGGCACGTTTCCTCCCCGTATACTAAATATACCCCAATATACTAAAGACTACTCATAAGTGTTTTATTATTTGCGGAGTGGGAAATGTTTAATATAAGGGGGAAGGGATTATATATAATATGTATATATGTATAATATGTGTATATATATAATATGTATACGGTGTACAAGCTATATTCCAATACATATATATATATATATATATATCGTGTATATATATATATGTATATATATATAGTGTTCAGACAAGTAACATATGTATATATATATATAAACATTAAAATATGTATATATATAATGTGTATATTCATGTATATACATGCAATATTTGTATACAAATAGTATGTATATAAAACTATTATACATAATATGTATATATAAAAACTATGCATATATGATATGTAGATATAAGATGTATGTATAATATGTATATATATACTGTATATATATATATATTACGTAGGTATAACATGTATATACATGTATATACTATAATTATATATAATGTGTATATATACGTATACAAATACATGTTCGTATTAAATTTCACGAGCTCCTGGGATTTTGTGATTTTTAGGGAATATTGGATATCAAGGTCAAGATGCAATATTTGGTGCAGTGTACCTTCGCTCGGCAAAAAAGACATTCGACTGTTTCCAACCGTTTCCCCTTGGACACCTTTGGACCTTCAAAAAAAAAACTGCGTTGCGCGGAAATGTTTTTTTTAAGAAATGCGGGTTGGACAAGTTTTGGCCTGATCATGTTTCCGACCATTTCCGACCGTTTCCGACCGTTTCATTTTTTCTGAACGATTAATAGGACCAATTCCATTTATGGAAGGCTGATCCAGTGCAAACCCGTGCAAACCATGACGCTTAAATGTTTTCGTGCGACCCTTGTGCGCGTACACTGCACCAAATATTGCATCTTGACCTTGATATCCAATATTCCCTAAAAATCACAAAATCCCAGGAGCTCGTGAAATTTAATACATGTTCGGAAAGGTGAGTGACCTATGTGGATCTGCTTCAGTGGATGAACAAGCGGATAAGTTTCTCGCAAAAAAACATTGCATTCTTGCCCAAAGATAGGATATAAAGACAGGATATATACCTGGAAAGGTAATTGGACAAAACCTTCCGTGGATTTGCCCCAATGCGCGGATCAGTTTTTCACGACAAATCATAGCTAGTTAGTAGTTTTAGATACCCTGCATTGGTTTGTGTATGTTTGTGTACATCCATTTTTCTCCACAAAAAAAACTCTGAATCAGCTATCCAATATACACCATGACAGTTTTGTGAATGTTGACCAAGTCATTGACCATTTGAAGGATACCATGGCTTTTCGTCTCAAATCGTAGGCGTTCCTGCAAAATTGTCCATTGAATTCTACTGTGGATGGTTGCGAAATCCTGCACCACCTGGGATGTTGGTGGTAGGAAGCCTATAAATAATGGGATAAACCACCTATCAACTGGTGCAAGATTTCGCAACCATCCATAGGAATGAATCTGCCCCAAAAAGTACTGTTGGAGGTGCAAGCACTTGCAAGTGAGTAGTGATGACTGATTAAAGAACTGTAGACAATGGGGCTACATATATTTCTCATATAATAATATTCAGAATATTCATATTATATATATAATGAATATATATATGAGAAATCTATGATAAATATACGTAAAATAATCGTAAATATATGAGACATATATGATACAACAGAAGTGTGCTTTAACTGCCACAAATGGACAACAGCATCTGTGCAATGTTTAAAGAAAACGACGGGGTTCAGGTTGAGAACCCCATGGATGTCCATCGATGTTGTCAATTTCTCGCATGTGTCAGCAGCCAAAATAACGACTGAGGTAGGGATATCGCCTACTTTGCGATTGTCACTGAATATGGATGCGGCTTAAACCTGATCAACCCAAGAAATGTGAGGGCTTGACTGGGCTTCACAATGTTTTCCAGCTCTCTTTATTCCTCACTGGTGGTTCGGCCATGTTGGGGTCCCATTGGACTTGGTCATGAAGCATTGCGATGGTGAGCAAAGTTTCTAAACTGCGTTCTTGATGAATCAGCTTCACAAAAAACAAGACGAGTCCACTTCCAAGTCCCAAATTCCGGTACCAATCCCACCACCCGTACGTGTATATATTAATATATGCTAGATACATGCATATAACACAGATTATTGCCGGTACCATTATATAGAGGAGGTTCCAGAAATGGTGGTACCATTATATATCACCCTTTTCCTATGGTGATTTGGGGGATGGCTCATTATTGTTTTACCCACATATTATACCCTCTGATATTGAACACATCATTAATGGATAAATCAACTATTTGTTTTGTCATTTTCAATAGCCATGTTGGTTTACCGAAATATTGTTTCATCATATTGGTTATTGAATACCCAATACCCAATATACGAATAAATCAAGTATGTTGGTTTACCGGAGACTACTCATAGAATCCAAATATGAAGAAACACATTCGTCGCCCAGCTGCTGGGTGGCACCCACGCGCCTCTCTTCCTGCGCCGCTTCCAAGAGCTGCGCCAAAAGGACCTGTGCTCCTTGGCGCAGCGGGGGTCCCATTGAGGTGGTTGTACCATGGGATTTTACCCATGTTGGGATACATGAGAATGCAGAAAAACATGTTTTTCCCCACCTGCCAGGTGAGGGTTGTTAGATTTTATGTCAGTTGCCTGGTCCTCCTCCTCCTCGTCCTCGTCCTCCTCCTCTCCTCTCCTCCTCCTCGTCGTCCTCCTCGTCCAACTGCGACCCGCGATCCACAGTGTTCCCTGCCGGACCTCAACCACGACCATCCACGCCCAGTGTTCCCTGCCGGACCTCAACCACGACCATCCCCGCCCAGTGTTCCCTGCCGGACCTCAACCACGACCATCCACGCCCAGTGTTCCCTGCCGGACCTCAACCGCGAGTATCCCCGCCCAGTGTTCCCTGCCGGACCTCAACCACGACCATCCACGCCCAGTGTTCCCTGCCGGACCTCAACCGCGAGTATCCACGCCAAAAGATATGCCACATAGAGTGCCAGAAGATATGCCAGATAGAATGTTAGAAGATATGCCAGATAGAATGCCAGAAGGTATGCCAGATAGAATGCCAGATAGAATGTCAGCTAGAATGCCAGAAGATATGCCAGATAAAGTGCCAGAATGTTTGCCAGATAGAATGCCAGCAGATTTGCCAGATAATATGCCAGAAGATATGCTAGATAGAATGCCAGATGGAATGCCAGAAGATTTGCCAGATAATATGCCAGATCGAATGCCAGATGGAATGCCAGAAGATATGCCAGAACATATGCCAGAAGATATGCCAGAAGATATGCCAGAACATCTGCCAGAAGATATGCCAGAACATCTGCCAGAAGATATGCCAGGTAGAATGCCAGAAGATATGCCAGATAGAATGCCAGATCGAATGCCAGAAAATATGTCAGATAGAATGCCAGAAGATTTGCCAGTAACAAAATGTATAAATGTCATGGTGGGGATCACACGAAGTAAAGTAATTTTTTACTGTACCCCTTGAACTATGGCTATACTTAACATAGTTATAATCCGTATTTTTCCATTTTTTCCACTAAAATAACCGGAAATGCACTGGCAAGTATGGAAAATCACCATGTTCGAGAGCTAAATCATCGAACTCTATGGGCCAGTTTCATCCATTTGCTAGTCATATGCACAATTACCAGAGGGTATGTCAGGTGTTGAATTGGGTGTAATGGCTATTTCATGCAGTTTAATGGGAATTTCATGCAGTTTAATGGGAATTTCGCGGGATAAACCAACCATCATCAAAGGGTGACACCCGATTCCACCTAGCTTGGTATGGCTGATGTCCCACTAAAAGTATCTACCCCTTATTCATGGAGGTTTCATTCATGGAGGTTTCAGAAATTCCATAACTGTGTTAGATTACCGGAAGGTCTGGTTGGTCATTTGTGGAACTCCCCATATTGCTGCATGAATACAATCATCCTGGAGTAGATAGAGCATGATGGACTATCCGAAACATTTTCAAATTTGAGATGCTTGTCTATTGCGGGATTGTCCCATTCTCCAGCCACTCCAGGTTGGGGATATGCCGTCACATGCACATTTTTAACCCATCCTAAACACCGCGATGGCGATCCTTCGCCAAGCGGAGCGTCACTCAATGGGGCCATGGATTGGGTGAGGTGGTTAATCCCGTGGGAGGAGATCTGAAAAGCCGTCAAAATGGCTCCAATTGAGGGAATCCAATGTGGTCACCAGGGTCTTCAAAAAAACTCCCGATCATTGATCAATGCAAACGATCACTGGCGCTGTACATCAGTTTTTGCGAGTAAAACCATATCTCAATATATATATATATATATCAATATATATATATATATCAATATATATATATATTGATATATTGATATATATATATAATTATATAATATTATATACAATATATATATCAGTATATCACATATCCAAATGATCAAAGTCTACATAGAGTCATGCACTACGTAGCGTTCAAAAACATCGAACGTGACAAACGCTGAATGTCCAGCTGTCGAGCGTCCATTCCTCTGTCGTGGCGGCATCTCCCCGGAGGGTTGCCTGGGTGCCATGGGCGGCTGGGTCTTTGGATTTTTCATGGGAGAAACTCATGGGATATATAATGGGTAAAAAACAAATAATGGGAGATAATGGGATATCTTGATATATATACTAATAATCCAAAATTGGACAGGATTATAATGTGTCTAATGATAAGAATGGGATATAATCCATGGGATATTCAACCGGATATAATCCAGATAATACTAATATCATCTAGCAACATTCCGATATTCTATGGATTGGTTTCATGAAAATTTACAGGAAAGCCCCATATTCAATGGGAAAATCGATGGTTTCCGGTTTCCGGTTTCGATTTTCCCTTAAACCAATCCATGGAGATATGAAATGGGATAGTATTATTAATATACTTCATGTTTGGTAATATTATATAACTAATAATACACATACATACATAATCGTAAAAATAGTAGTAACGCCGACAATTTAATACTGCAATGCTAATATGGTACTGTAATGGTCCAATGCTGATAGTAATATAGGATACTAATAAAGTAATAATAACAAAGAGTAATAACAAATAATTACAATTATATATAGTACTGAAAATGATAATGGCAATAATATATAATATTAATGGACAAGCTGGGAAAATCCTGGACTATCGACCCATCTAGATACAGTACCCTCCGGTAGTTTAATGTTCTGCTATGAAATAGATCGCCCAATTGAAATCGATTATTTACCTGCTTAAATGCTGATTTTCCATAGCAAATCGTTAAATTACCAGAGGATTTTTTTTTTGCGTTGTGTATATGCTTGGGGGAGATAGGCTGTGGGGCTAGTAGTTGAGCAAACCCCCGACGGTTGATGATCTTTAATCTCTATCATAGAATCTCTATCTGCTTAAAACCAGCGCCATCTGATCAGATACCTTGCTTCACCCCGTAGACACAGTGCTTGGATATATCCATCTGTGGTTCATTTTAAGATCTTCGTTTTCTGCTGAAGACAAACCATGCATGTCTATCCCTCTTTTCAAGTACGGTAGAACTTCTTGAGAACCAAGCGGGTCAGAGTTAGACTGCACCATCCCCAGACATCATGGGTTTCAAGGGGAACTGAAAACTGTAGTTGCATGGTGCATAGTTTATCATAGTTTAATGTAATTTAAACACACCAACCATGTAACTACTTGGCCAAACGATTTCCTCATGTATGGATGTAATCATCCATTTTCAAAGTACAGCAAACAATTCTCGGAAAACCATTTTGGTTTGTCCAAAGACAGGGTAACCCACAATCCTCCAGTGGTTTATCATCATATATCACGTTCCGCCTAAAGATGTTTTGGCTACAGTATACCCTGTTTCTGGACAGACCCAAGTATCAAAATGTTGGCTACACCATATATCCCATTGTGTATCCATTTGCACCCCACTAAACCCAAAAATGTCTGATTGTACTCCCCCCAAACTCATAGCACATACCTTGGAATCCTCCATCCTGATTTTTTTGACAAACAAAATGATCATATTGTTGGCTATATGATATCGTATTAGTTGATCCCCCTTACAGCATAAAATGCTTGGTTTCATACGCAATTTCAACATTTATCAACCACACTTAGGCTATTAGGGGCACGGGATCATCACCACATTTACTGTCCAAAGATCAATATGAGTTTACTGAATCAGGAATCATGGAACAGTAATCTATTACGGTCAAGTTTTACTGTTCTATTTTGGGGTTGCTACACTGTGGCAGACCCAACAATAAATCACCTCCAAGATCAATATAAACAGGTAGTCCAAGCTATCGCAACTGGTAGGTTTTCTGTTCGGGTTCCCACAGTAATGTGGGAAACCCAATGCCAGGCATAAACAAATACCACTCGGGATGGATGGTTTATAGAACCCATAAAAATCATTAAAAACTCTGATTTGGGCATTGTGTTTAGCAGAGTACTATCAATTCCCATTGAATCCATCTTTAATCAACGGCCATTTCAGGAACTAAAAAAATTGGAGGTAGCTACCATATTAATAAGGCCTTTTTTTAGGGCTAAACGGCTAAATTTGAGGAAAAAACTATTCCCAAGTTCTACAGTATTAGCCCCAAACATGGTACAGTACCTCTATTTTAGGCTCCTGACATTCCCAGCTGATTTCAGCACATCATCCGTCATTGATTTCACCAGCCACGCCGGGGCGATCTGCCGCCGCTGCTTCTCGGCACGCTCTTTGGCCTTGTTGGGAACTGGATGAAGATTTTGGTTGGGAAAAAAACATCTTGTGGACAGTTTGGTGAAATTTTGATTTCTTATCATCTTTAGTTGTAGACCCATTTTCGGTTATTTTTTATAGAGCAGCTTATGTCAGGCTATGTCCTGCTTGGGATACAGATCCACTTACGGCCACTTAAGATCGAATCATTTCAGGGATCCATTCCCAAAGTGGAAACCCAAACAGACAAAAAAAAATTGGGACTGACTTGATGACCGTGACGAAGAATTCAAACCAAGCAGGTTTTTAGACATCCTGCTCCCAAAATAGACACCCTGGATTTTCGAACGTCAAACCCTTGGAAAAACGGCGTTTGTTGGTTGCAGGTTCCTATTGTTAAACTTTTGTGTTGGAATCACAATACCATGTAATATGTGTATACATATAGGCAAACAAGTATAATCATCATTGCTCTGTCTGATGGTTCGAGATGGTCTGAATCATTGTTAGTGTTGTGTATATACACATATATACGAAATTTATATGTAATCTCGATTCCAAGTCGTATACATCTTGTCAATTTGAATACTTCTCAAGCTACCGTGGAAGCCCGCATCTTCATATTCCCAAGTTTCATCGTCAGGGGATTTTTTAACCCCCCGAAAGGTGACGGCCGCAATGGTGAACAAGCTCTTGCTACTACTTTTTGGTGGTCAATAAGCCGTTAACAAGAACTTACTAAGCCCACCTAAGCCCTTACTAAGCCCTAGCCCTCAACAAACTCTTATAGTTATTAGGGGGAAAATTGCGACGTGGTTCCAATCGCACTCGAAAATCGTCCGGGTGGCGAACATGTTTGGGCAGGGATAGAGAGAACAACGGGAATATGATGGAATATGGCTATATTGATTGAATCCAATATATGGAGTACCAAGGGAATACGATAGTTGTGTTATCCGATGGATATTGTCATACCAGGGGAACCACAGCTCAGGCGTAGCAATGGCCGAAGAAGAGCAAGCTTTTCTTGGGGTAGTCATCCCATTGCTTTCAATATTCGAGAAGTTACTACGGGTGGATTCTCTCCTTAGTAAATGCTTAGTACACGGTGTTTCGAAATGGCCTCCTGTCCCAGGACTGACATTTTTTGGCGCTTCCGCAAATCATCTGCCATCCCATCCGCAGATCTAATCTTCGCCAAAGATGCTCGAGCCTCATCTTCCTCGATGGTTTGAAAGTCACTTTGTCTCGCCTTGGCCAGCGCCTCGTCCACACCTGGGAAAATCTGTGCGGATTGATGAGGATTGCTCACATGGGGTATATAACCTATATATATATAATTAAGGATCTTATGCGGAAATTTCTTGGGATGTTTATATTATATATCAATATATATATATATATTGATATATGGAGGTTTCATCAAACCATCCATAATATATGTATAAGTATAAGATATGTTAAGGTGTGTCTGAAAAGTCCAGATATCATCCCATAAATAATAACTCCAGACATGTGCATTTTTGATGGAGAAAAGACTCTTGTGAACCATGAGATTCCGGAAGGAATTTGGAGTATCCAGTGGTGTCGCTTTTGGGGGGGGCTATCGCTACAAAGGATTTGGATCATCTGTGCCGAAACCATCCTTTTTTTTGTGACGTCGTGGTGAGGTCGTTTTGAGTCAGCCAGATTATGAACATGTAGGAACTCATCAGCTACCTTATATCCAGATTATACGTATCTGGCTAAATGGTAGGAACTCAGCAAACTGACGAGAATTTCAGAAGCGGTGTCGAGGTTCCCGAAGCAGCCAAGACACTTAGGCGTTCGGGCTGTCCCGTTCGCACCACTGGAGCTTTGTAGTCCTCAGCTGTACTCCGGAGAAACCCCATACATTCATGGTTTCTGGTGAAGATTTCCCGGTAGAACCAATCCGTTATTGACACACTAAAAAAGATGAAATCTCGCCGCCAAGCAATGGCTACAACGGCTACAATGGCTACTGAAGTTGAAATGACCACTCATGTTCATGTCCACCCTCTGTCTGAAACCTATGGTTTTAGGTAACCTACACAATCTTTGGACTTTCGTCCACTTTGCCCAACTTGGACGAGGAGCAGGCATGGCATCCAAAAGTCGCTGGGCCAAACCACATCTCCCAGCGAAATCTTCCAATCCTCACAGCGGAACGTTTGGCAGCTGGATGCTGAAAGAGGTCTGAAACCCGGTGATTTCTGGTATGGAAAGTCAAAACCTGGCTTAAAACTTCATGTTTTCTTAAATTAATTTCGATCCATTTTTGGAGATTGCCACTGGAAGAAACACCTCAAATTCAAAGCTGCGAACATAAACTAAAGCCACCCGGGCTTGTTGCTTTGAGCACAGCATGCAACCCCCCGAGAATATCGGAGAGTTGAATGCATCACCAGAGATGGTGGTCATCTATTTTTGTTATATGTGTATGTATAACTATATACAGTATATATTATTTGTTTTCAATGTGTATATATATATATTAATATATATATATATATTATATAGTTTATGTCCTTACCGTTACTTGTACATACTTGTACTATGATATCTCATTCTTATCACTGTCATTTATCTCATTGCCGTCATTATTGCAGTATCATTGTGGTACTTGTAATTCTTATCATGGTTGTTATCATATAGGTTTGTTTGAAAATTTGGGACCCCTAAATCCACTGCTTCATCATCATTCTCCCTATTAAATGGCTGTCATATGCTTTAATTGGGCGTATACCATGTTTTTAGACACATCCAATTGATATCGTCAGAAATACTAATGGTTTCAGAGAAAAAAAGAAGTCACCTGTCTTTATCTATTAATATCAATGTCATTTTCTGTATCATCGTACATCCAATCAATATCTGTTCAATTGGGGGTATACCCTGTCTGGTTGGTGGTTTCAACCCCTCTGAAACATATTAGTCAGTTGGGATTCTTATTCCCAATGGAAAAAATCAAAATGTTCCAAACCACCACTTTATCCACTTTGATCTGCGCCCTGCCTTAGTATCGAAAGCAGTGCTTTGACTGTGGCTGATACGGGGCAATGTCACACCGGAACAAGCAGGTGATCCAAAACCCTAGTTGACCGTCTAACGGGAACAGCACTTAATTCGAGAAAACACCAGACAACGTTCTCCAGCCGTTCATTCGAAAACCGGAGCGCCATACAGCTGGCATGCATACATATCATGTGGCTCTGTGGCCTACAGTACTGAGACATCACGTCGAATTTAGCATGGCGGCAAATTTCACAGAACGGCAACTGTACAAAACAAAGTCCGGAGATGAACGACTGCAACTCCCAGGAACCAAGTTGTGTCTCACTCATGGCCCAAAAATCCCCACGGGACATGTTCGCAACAACACAACCAGCATCGCTTTGGAGACCCGAAGGGTTGGCAGTTTCCAAAACAAAATTGGTATCACAAAAGGCATCCACAGGACCCGGGGGAAAGGCTTCCCCGACCCTGACAACACTGAAGGACACAAGAAGCACAACCATCTTCGTTTTGGCAGACGACCATACTCTCTCATAAGACAGTGCAGATGCTAACCCCATAATCAGGAAAACAAAGTCGGGCACCAGAGCCACCATAGGCCAGTAAACTGACAAAGTAGCAGTCCTGACACTGCACCAACCAGATGGCTCGCGCCCTCCCCATCATTCACCTTCCTCTCTCAGACGCATTGACACCACACCCCAAATGTGAGAGAGCTGGGTCTCCAACATAGCTTGAATACTATGAGTCTGCGTTTCAATCTGCCCATACAACTGCTGATCCTGAGATGGCAGCTGGGTTTGGAGGTAGTTCACACGCTGGGTCTGATGGTCAGAAACTTCCACCCATCTGAGACAAACCACTGCAAGCATCAATCTGTTTGAACAAGTTTGCCCACGATGGCACAGCAGGATGGAGCACCATGGTGGTGGCTCCACAGGCAGTGGCAGGAACCAGGAACTGTTGCCCCACCACCGCATCGATCAGTGTCACTGAGTCATGACCCTCTTCCAATAGTCCACTGTACTTGGCCAGGTTTCCAGTTGCTCGAGTCCGAAGCAAGCGACTTTCAAGGAAGGAAACAAAGACCACAACGTCCAAAACCAAACAAAACTCCAGGGTCAGTGCCATGGCGAAAGCGAGGAACGTAACCCTCAACGCTCAGCTGGGACAGCCGCACCAGCTGGAAGGTGTTGAGCCCGCGGCTGTTCCAAACCACCAACCAGACTGTTTAATATGTTTAACATGCTTTATCATCGTCATAATCTTTCAGACGTGACCTGACCATCGCCACCGTTAACGCCGCCCAATCTCCAATGCCACCGGCACCCCAACGGTCTTCATCCCAAAGCGCATCCACCAATTCCTTCCACTTGCGACGGCTTGGGGCGGAATGGGACAAAGAACCATCAATTTAATATGTGTTATACTGTTATACGATATTATACGATGTTTTGTGCGGCAGCAATGGAGTCATTCTATGGTGATATGGGATTTATGTTGGACATTATGAACTAAGCAACATGGGAATCTGGTCATTCTTGGACTTGGTAACGAGTTTACAGTTTATCTTTATCACTACCATGAGCTACCGCTTCCAAGAAAAATGTGAGTTTGTCTAAAGCTAGCGTACTGAATAAATTTGATAGTAAATCACATCATTATTTTCCAATCATTTCATGGCAATCTTTAGAGGTATACCCCATGTTCACAGACCCCACCAGCCAGGCCGACTCAAATCATCGACAAAGCTCTCTGAGTTTGATGGCTCCCATGGTTCGCGACTTGCGCGAAGGTGTTGTGGCTGGAACCAACTGAGCTACCTCGGTGTCATGGAGGATTTAGCCCCAAAAAGCTGGGGGTTGAGAAAAAACCCATGAAAACCAGTATAATATACTAAAATCTACAATAAATCCGAGTTAACTACGGAACTCAACCAACTTCGCTATCGGCGATTCTCCACATTGCATAAAACCAAGAATTTCAGTTGGATTTTCATGGAGATATCTCAGATACCAGCAATATGATCTGTATCCATCTATGATCATCTATGGATATCTAATGATATGGGTTTGTCTGAAAATTGACGCAGATTGGGGCAATTACCCTGACAATTCTGGCTATTTCATTATATTTGAATAGAATATTGATGATTAGAGTAGCCAGTGGATGGAATATGATGGACAGTACCCCATTTTCAGACAATCCGACACGTTTGGATAGGTTTTTTGGAATGAACAAACAAGATCCACCGGTTGGCAGGCTGATGTCGCAAAAAACACAACTGAATATTAAATGAGAGACCTACAAAAAGAAGAAACATTTGATGAACACTGCTGGGGCCGGGCATAGCGCAAAAGACGTTCTGTAGTAGATACAGTACTTCTCTGATGTAAACGGCGCAAATTAAAATGATGCATGAAAATGCAAAATGCGCATGATTACTTTCAATACTAAACTCCCATGTCTGCTGGGAGTGTTGAAAATGCAAAGTTCATCTCCAGCATTTCTTTTTGTTGCTGTTTTCTAGCCATCACGAAAACATCAACCACCACAAAGCTCGGACAAGCGGCGTCGTATGCCTTGACAATACCCCGGAGCAACTCTGATTTAGAGAGGCGTCCATTGCCGTGGTAGTCAAAGTATTGGAACCAACCTTGCAGTTTCAGTGAAACTGCAGGCGCTCTCTCCATGGCAACAGCATGTACAACACCGTACCAGGTGTAGAATGTGTCATTAAAAACATGTCGACCAACTGGTCACTGGTGAATGAGCAAATGTCCAACCCAGAAGATCAATTTCGGGACTAATGTGGATCAGTTCATGCTTTTCAAAATATCATTTTGGATTCCTGAAAAACCTGGATCCAGAGACGTTTTAGCCAAGCAACTCTCTGTATCTGACAATTTGGGAGGGGCACCTGGCACTGACCGTCCCAATGGAGCACTAAGGACTCCAAGGACTCCAAGTCCCGTACGTCTGGGTGAATAAACCATGAATAAACCATGAATAAACCATGAATAAACCATGAATATCTGAACCATATCACAGGGAATGAAACTTAGATTTTCCTGCAGAATTTCCCGAAAAAAAAAGTAGCCGAAGTAGCCAATGGCTGTAAAGGGATGAACTCTCACAACCTGGAGCTCCACAAGGTCACTGGTTAGCATCGAATCATCGAATGACGTCAACAAAAGGGGGATTGAACGGGGATCTATCTGAAAATCATCCTGAATCAGAAACAAAAATAGGGAGCTTCACCCAACAAAAGCGTACAAAAGTGAAATTCAAGCCACAAAAATAAGGATTTTCACAAGCACCCACCCTTCAGAAAAATCTTCTCCGCGCCTAGCTGCCCCTCCACCTTCATCTCAAGCAAATGGCTACTCAACCAAGCCAACCTGGGCACTGCTGGCTACAGTTTCTAAATTCGATTGTACGTACCCTCGGGTCAAAATGTAATGCAAAATCACGGAAAAGTAAATGCCTTTGCTATTTCAACTGATGATGTTCAGTTGTTACGCCAGACTGTCATACAAGAATCACTGCATGGCGCGAATTGGGCAAGAACTGTCCCTTTATCATTGTCCATGGTTTGTCGATGGACAGTAGTAGAACCTACCTGGATCGCGGCTGCTATCCCATAGCAGTCTATCACATCATATTCCCAATATTTCCCAATATCTATCAGATGTTTCCCAATCAATATCTATCTAAGTTGGTTTATAAGTCCAATAACTATGATTTATGTGAAATATCTATAGTCAATTGGATTACAATCCATTCATTTAACTGGGGAAACTCTTAAAGCTCCTAATGCTACCATTGGATAGACTGTATTCCTTGCCTCAGGGATCCTCAGGGTAGAAATCGATACTTCTGGGGACTTATATAACCATCATTGATGTGCCGTGGTTGTATAATGTTGTATATGTATATGAAACCAATTGATATCACAGATCTATGATTATCTATGTATATCTATGTATGGAATCTATAATCATATACATATACGCATATGATACACATAGGAACCCCCAAAGGATTGAACAACTATGAAAAACTACAGTAACATACTGTTTAACATACCAATAAATTTCCGTGGTAAATTGTACTATCACGGTCCAAGCCACATGCCATCTGGCCGAAGGAAATCCGCCTCTCTCATCCCGTCCTGTAGGACGTTTCTATGTTTCCAAATTCTCTGGATGATGTTCCGAAATGGTGGATATCTGAAGGATTTTGTGTCTGGAACCCGGTCACCTTCCAACTCCAAAAAATCCAGCCATTGAAAAGTTCCTCCAACCCCAGCCGAACCACCCACAGAAAGATACAAAACCAAAAAACAGACACGGCAACCCCAAAATATGTCTTTAGGATAGGATTGCATTTGTTGGGGGACTTGATTGCTTATAATAGCATCGACACTTGATAATCATTACACATTGTCCATTGCCATTGTATATGATCTATGTATGGTGTGTTGACGAATGCGGTGCAGTGGACGATAGCATCTCAGGGTGATGTGGTGGTGCCTAGCTGCCAAGGATCTGTACAATCAGCACACCATTGAGGCCATAATTCCTCAAAGATTGGTGCCTCGGCGCTGAAAGAGCAGTGCCAACTGAAAGAGCAGTGGAAGATGCAGAATAAAAAACGCCATGATTAACAATAATATTTATTAATAAACATTAGTATATGGGATAACATGATATACTCTCCGATTCATGATATAATAATGAAAATAACATTGGGATATATGGGGATACTACAGTAATTGAAATATACTGAGATGTATACCGAAACCAACAACTGGACAACTGTTGGGCCATGTCCAAAATAATGGCTGGTTCATGGGGATTCCCAGAGCATGGATTTTGATAATCGAGGATAATCCCAAATATTTAAATTCATATAAAGACTAGGTTTAACAACACCCAAAAGTAACCACCAACCATCATTTGTGATATCATGGGAATCCCCCCCAATAGCGTTGAATCAATTTCAGGCACCCCCAGTGGATTCTGATAACCCTCCTATGACCTGTAATGGATCCCCCATTGAAAATCACAATTGTTGGACAATGGGATTCCAAGTTCATGAAGCATGATCATCACCTATATCCGTGGGGGTACCCTAAAATGGATAATTTGGGGTACCCCTATTTTAGGAAACCTCCATATGTATAAGTGGCAGTATAGCTCCAGAAAAAAACCCTACCAATCTGCAGGGTGATGCAGGGTGTTTGACAACAAACGAGTACGAAGGGGACAGGAAACCAGTGGCTATTGGTCAATTGGTCAATTGGTCGCAGATGTCCAATAAGCGAGATGAAACAAATGGGCAAGACTTGGATATGGCTCACACATGGGATACGTATCCACAATGTTGGCATTTGCACCCATGAACTGATCCCCCGTTCTTGCTTTCGGTTGACAATATTCATCATTTCATGTCACGCTGTCCTATCATTGGGCTAGTTACATCTTATCATATCTTATCTTGGATCACAAATTCTGGTTGAGACAGTCCCCTTCCCGCTAGTGGCTAGTCAGATAAGTCAATATGATGCTACGTTGTTGTTGGTGTTGCTGGTGCTGCTGGTGTTGTTGCTGCTGCCGTTGCCGTTGCCGTTGCCGTTGCCGTTGTTGTTGTTGTTGTTGTTGTTGTTGTTGTTGTTGTTGGACGCAGCCCATTGTTGTTGCTTGACAACTGCAATCCAATACGAATACATACGAATACCTCGTCGTGTTCTTCATAGCAAGTATGCTTGTTCTTATTGGATATGTTTTGTCTAGCTGGCTCACATCGGAGTGCGCCAACTGGACTTCACTGACCCAGCTGCAAAGGTGGAGGCGTTCACCGGCAGGATCGCTTCGATGGCGCTCATGGCATATTTATCCTGGTCTTACTACTGGGATACAATGGGAATAAGTAGTGGGGATAGTACTGGGGATACCATGAGCGTGTGGGGAAATGATTACTGTATCTATACCCTCCGGTCAGTTAACAGTTTGCTATTGAACATGGCCTGTGATCATTTATTCAACACTGTGTTTTTTTCATAGCTATCTTACGTTAGTTTACCAGAGGGTTTTTGTTGGGCCCTTGGTCACCCATCCCATGGGAATCAATAAACATCGTGGGGATTTGTTACCCATGAAAATAGATCGATGAGCATCCCCCAATATGGGTATTCGACCATGGCACATGTAGTGGAATTTGGCATGGGATGGCTGGCGTTCGTTGCGCGCTTTTTCGTATGTTAATCTATGGCATCAGTGTATGTACAAAAAGACACCTACTACAGCAATGTCTTACGTTCTGTATATATATACATTGACATACCATGCGGGGACATATTGATCTTTTGGATTCTTTTGGAGAATTAAGAAATTAAGTGGTATTATGTGTGTCATCGACATATTTCGTGTGAGATAACGGGAATACAATCATGAATGTAGCAACTGATAAAATTCATGGCAACCGATAAAAGTCCAAGTACAGCCTCATCGGCACGGCAAATGCCTCAAACATCCTGAGATTCCCGTAGATTTGGAACACAGAATCAGGCTCAATATCTTCAATCTGAATCAATTTCGAAAAACTTTACGGGTAACTGGGTAATTCTATCCTCAGTTCCAGGAACACTCTCCCGACCAGTCCTTCAACACAATGTCCTCACCCGGCTCTAAGACCTGAAGCATGACTAATGACAACCTGGGGAATGTACACCAGAGATACCCAGAATTTCTATGTAGGAACCCGAACAATGCCATTTCACTAGGATAAATTCAAACTGATGTATTGCAAATTTGTCTGAAATTCCATGCCCTGATCAGTTTTCGGATGTTGAGCGGCGAAGCGTTCAGTGGGTGAGTTACAACCCAAATAATACCGTAATTCTAAATATCCATCAAACCCAGTAGCCAATAACCATCCACTTCAGGGTTCTTTCAAACTATATTTTCATAGGGGTACCGGGAATTCACCGGCTTCCTGTTTGGAAAATAATCTACAAATTGTCAACTTACTGCAGCGTATGAGAGGATACCCAATTTCTCAACCCCAATTGGGGATGGTCACTATTATCACTCCCACAATCACCCCCAACAACATGTTGCCTTTTCATGAAGTTTACCACAAAAAACTTCAGCTCCCAAATGTTCTAACTGTCCCATGATGTCCCTCTACCACAAAATTATCGCGTTATATTCGGCCAGGGGCGTTGCCACAACAGCATGTGGAAAAAAAGGCGGTCCATAACTATCCCACAAGAATCCATAATCAGCTCTCTGGATTTTGCCTTAAGTTTACCAGAACAAAATTTTCAAACACTTCAGAACTTCTGATTTGTCATCATTTTCCAGGCAAAAAACACTATTTGGGGGGTATAGTGCACCCCACTTTCAGCAAAACTGAATAACGCTCAGAACTGCGAAATGCATGTTCATCCCACACCCAAAAGGTGTCTCAATGTATTTCATAAATTTTAATCAATCCGAACCATTCCCAAGTGGGCGTGTCTTAAAATGGGGTATAACATGGTATAACCCCCCCGTCTTAACATGGGGTATAACATGGTATAACTCCCCCGTCTTAAAATGGGGTATAACATGGTATAGCCCCCCCGTCGTAAAATGGGGTATAACATGGTATAACCCCTCCGTCTTAAAATGTGGTATAACATGGTATAACCCCGGTCTTAAAATGGTGTATAACATGGTATAACCCCCCCGTCTTAAAATGGGGTATAACATGATATAACCCCCCGTCTTAAAATGGTGTATATCACATGGTATAACCCCCCCGTCTTAACATGGGGTATAACATGGTATAACCCGTATAACATGGTAAAACCCCCCCGTCTTAACATGGGGTATAACATGGTATAACCCACCCGTCTTAAAATGGGGTATAACATGGTATAACCCCCCGGTCTTAAAATGGGGTATAACATGGTATAACCCACCCGTCTTTAAATGGGGTATAACATGGTATAACCCACCCTTAAAAAAAATGGGTTATAGCACGGGATAAACCCCCCGTCTTAAAATGGGGTATAACATGGTATAACCCCCCCGTCTTAAAACTGTATAACATGGTTTAACCCACCCGTCTTAAAATTGGCTATAACATGGTATAACCCCCCAGTTTTAACATGGGGTATAACATGGTATAACCCCCCGGTCTTAAAATGGAGTATAACATGGTAGAGCCCCCCCCATCTTAAAATGGGGTATAACATGGTATAACCCCAGTCTTAAAATGGGGTATAACATGGTATAACCCCCCCGTCTTCAAATGGGGTATAACATGATATAACCCACCCGTCTTAAAATGGGGTATATAACATGGTATAACCCCCCCGTCTTAACATGGGGTATAACATGGTATAACCCCCCCGTCTTTAAATGGGGTATAACATGGTATAACCCACCCTTAAAGAAAATGGGTTATAGCACGGGATAAGCCCCCCGTCTTAAAATGGGGTATAACATGGTATAGCCCCCCCGTCTTAAAACTGTAAAACATGGTTTAACCCACCCGTCTTAAAATTGGCTATAACATGGTATAACCCCCCAATTTGAAAATGGGGTATAACATGGTATAACCCCCCCGTCTTAAAATGGGGTATAACATGGTATAGCCCCCCCCGTCTTAAAATGGGGTATAACATGGTATAACCCCCCCTTGTTAAAATGGGGTATAACATGGTATAGCCCCCCCGTCTTAAAATGGGGTATAACATGGTATAACCCCGGTCTTAAAATGGTGTATGACATGGTATAACCCCCCCGTCTTAAAATGGGGTATAACATGATATAACCCCCCGTCTTAAAATGGGGTATATAACATGGTATAACCCCCCGTCTTAACATGGGGTATAACATGGTATAACCCCCCCGTCTTAAAATGGGGTATAACATGGTATAACCCCCCCGTCTTAAAATGGGGTATAACATGGTATAACCCCTCCGTCTTAAAATGTGGTATAACATGGTATATCCTCCTCCCGTCTTAAAATGGGGTATAACATGGTATAGCCCCCCCGTCTTAAAATGGGGTATAACATGGTATAACCCCCCGGTCTTAACATGGGGTATAACATGGAAGAGCCCCCCTCCGTCTTAAAATGGGGTATAACATGGTATAACCCCCCGTCTTAAAATGGGGTATAACATGGTATAACCCCCCCGTCTTCAAATGTGGTATAACATGGTATAACCTCCCCCGTCTTAACATGGGGTATAACATGGTATAACCCACCCGTCTTAAAATGGGTATAACATGGTATAACCCCTCCGTCTTCAAATGGGGTATAACATGGTATAACCCCCCGGTCTTAAAATGGGGTATAACATGGTATATCCCTCTCCCGTCTTAAAATGGGGTATAACATGGTATAACCCCTCCGTCTTAAAATTTGGTATAACATGGTATATCCCCCTCCCGTCTTAAAATGGTGTATAACATGGTATAACCCCCCCCGTCTTAAAATGTGGTATACCATGGTATAGCCCCCCCGTCTTAAAATGGGGTATAACATGGTATAACCGCCTCCCGTCTTAAAATGGGGTATAACATGGTATAACCCCCCGTCTTAAAATGGGGTATATAACATGGTATAACCCCCCCGTCTTAACATGGGGTATAACATGGTATAACCCCCCCGTCTTAAAATGGGGTATAACATGGTATAACCCCCCCGTCTTAAAATGGGGTATAAAATGGTATAACCCCCCCAAATAGTCATATATTCATGGTATAACATGATGAGAAACCACTTGATTCAGGGCTACCTCATTTTCAGACAAAGCCAACTATCAGTTGGTTGCAGGTATCCCACAATACCCCCATCAAATGTGTATAGACAGATATATATATATTATACACACACACACCATTCCATAATACAATTTAAACAAACATGAAATATCATCATTCGGATTTATATAACCACTAAAACCAAGCTTATTCAGAATGCTTATGTGATATATCCCCAATAAATAAATAAATATATATATATATACATACATAATAACCATTAAGAGTAACCATATGTATCCCCCGTGTATATATATATATATATGTATAAAAATAAGGGTATCCTGAAACGGGGGGCCGGGGGTACCCCCAAATCATCCATTGTAATAGGATGATCCACTTGGGGTATCCTCATTGATGAAAACCTCCAGAAATGTATGCAATAAAAACCATATACCCTCTGGTACACTAACATAAGTATGGAAAACCACCATCTTTAATAGGTAAATCAACTATTTCTATGGACCATTATTTTCAATAGCTATGGTAAATTACCAGATGGTAATAACCATATAATAACCATTATATAACAACCATAATATCTCCATGGCCATCCAGGGCCTATCCCACAGCGCCACGCCACACAGGCCAGGCGAAAGAAACTCTTCGGATCCACCGTGGGATCCGTCAAGCGCAGCGCTGCCGCGAAGCTCGCGCGGCACCTGAGGATGGGAAGCCACAACAACAGCCAGGGCAATGGCAGCGCCTTATTGCACTTATCAATGTGAGGTCCCCCTAAGCTGGTTGAACCCCATGAAAGCTAGACTTATAAGATCTTATATATAAACATTCATAAACCGTGAAATTGGAGAGTTATTCGCACCAACTTAGCTATCATTTGGGGGCCCCACATTGTATGATACTGGCTGATATGCGCAGTGGCTTTTACTAATTACATAGAAGATTCCGTAGCCAACCCTTAGAGCTTCGTCCTAACCCACTTTAAAACTAATCAACGGTCACTGTTCAGGTAATAACATGGTGGATTTCGCCTAAAAAATATGAATGGTTTCCTACTAGAAATGGCAACATGCGTATACTTGTTACATATATATATTACACACACACAGCAAGTAGAAACAAATTAATCCACATTCTTTTTCTCTGCTACCCCTTTCATACCAGCTCTGTGTGTGTTTTGCTCTTTTTTAACAAATATATCTGTATGTGTATATATATATATATAATTATGTGTATATATATAATCCTTTGCCACCCCCCAAAAAAACACATGCAAGGCAAAAACACATCCAGAAACTTAAAAAGAAGAAGGAAAACTAGCGCAAATGACCCCATCCCCATCCCCACTGTTATGCCCCATCCACCAAGCCCTCCGGGCCGCTGTTCCAAGGCACAAGGGACACGCCGGCCCCGGCGGCTTCGGGATCCGCGGCTCACGGCGCGTGCGCCAGGCCCGAAAGCGTTCGGAAGCTTCGTCTTGGACGTGCTCGGCCTCAGGAGCCAGAGGAACATGATGGGATACCCTCTGGTAAACCAACATAACTATGGCGGAAAACCACAATTTTTAATAGGTAAATCAGCTATTCCCATGGGCCATTTTCAATAGCTATGTTAGTTTACCAGAGGGTAATGTCAAGTTATATAGGATTAATCACCACCCCAAGACCCCAAGAATCTAGATTTATAATCCCAACTTGACATTAATCATGTCATCAAAATAGCTATGGAAAATGAACCGTTTATGATTTACCAATCAAAAATGGTTGTTTTCCACTTTGCTATTTTAGTTTACCAAAGGGTAATCATGTAAAATGATGGCTTCGAAGAATTATAGGTGATTATGAACTTTAGTTGATTAACTTGTATATAATGGCTTATATGGGATCATCATGGGATAATTATCTGGGATATATAATCATAAATTATGGCAAATTTGTGGATATTTATGGGGTAATCAAAATGGGCTAATCATACGAGCCAAAGGTTGGAGGATACCACTGATGGAATTATTCATGACCAGCCAATAGTTGGATACCATGATAATATCTCCCCCTTCCATCACATCACATATATGCAGCCAAAGGAGGTCCGATACTAGTCCAAGATTTCGTATGAGGGGGGGTATATTTACATATTTAATAATACTACATAATATTACATAATATCACAAAATTGGGGGAAGGGAAGGGGTTATAATCCCAGTTGAGCAGAGATTTGAGCAACAAAGAATGCGGGGAGAAGACCAACCATTTCGCAGGATACAGAATGGGAGGAAATGGGACAAAACTGCTCAGTTGAGAACTGGGTACTCACAATTGGGGGGATCCCCAAAAGGTTACTTACCAAGCAAAAACGGTGAGGTCAATCATGTAAGTGGTGATATGCAATCTGATACGGCAACCATGCATAGGCTTTACTGTAAATGTACAGTACTAGAATCTGACACATTACGCTCGACAATTCCGTCAACAATGCATCAACCAAAGACCAGTTCATAAGCAGCATTAACAAATCAGGACAATGGCAAAGCGCCGGCAAATAGTTTCACATCCCCCAGAGTTTTATGAGAAGGTGTTCTCGACATTTGCCCCCCCCCCAGATGCAATAATCCTAGTACTTCAAACCAGCGTCGCCGAAGAGTCTTTTGTCGATCGTATCCATCATTCCTACTGTTAAGGTCTATACTACGTGTATATATTCGCCATGGTTTCATGATAGTTGTGCAATAATATATATATATATATTTTTTATTTGTTTATTCAAGCAGTGATGAGTCGGGTGATTGTTCAAGATCCCAGGAACCCAAGCAATGTAAAGGCACACAGCTGCGAATGGGAGATCGCCCCCAAATCCAATCAGCAACACACATGTTATTGCAAGCCACATAAGACATCATATCAAATCCAGTGGGTTCCTCACCTGCAAAGAGTTTAACTTCTAGATACTTCTAGTAGTCGTGTATAAATCACTATTTTCTCAAAAAGACAAAAGTCAAGGGGAGTGCCTGGGAACCGCAATGAAATCGATAAAATATTCCATTCTTACCACAAAAACATTCCAAGTGACCTCTTTATTCATTTTATTCCTTGGTCTGACTTAGGCTTTGAAAATGTCACTTGCCAATCCCAAGGAAAAGGCGATTTTGAGCTTAATTCATGGTTGAAAGTTGTGCAGCTATCATTGTGACTGACCATTTTATCCCCCGGAAAAGCCGAGCTGCACAGGTGAGACAGGTAAAGTGGCCACAAACACCTTGCGAGGACCAGGAGGCAGTTGGCAACTGCTCTGCTATACACCCAAAGGGAGGAACTCAACGGAAGAAACAGTGTGGCGATTCAACCAGTCAGCAAAACTGGGCGGCGAACTAACTTGAAATGGAGAGAGATAACCCGCACCGCGAGGATTGTTTCTAGCAACCATAGGACCATAGCTATAGAGAAGCATGTATATGTATATATATATATTGTTAATATATATATATATATATTATAAATATCTATATTAATTAAAAGATGTTATGAGGCAACGTCACGTAACTAGTACAGTAATGCAATAGTGATCGGACTACCATCATCCAAAATTCGCATCTGTACCACCAAGAGATGTCGCAATGGTTGCCTTTATGGCATTGGGAAATCCATTGAACATACATCCAATTCTGTTGATTTCCCGCCTTGTTCCCCGTTTCAAATGACAGTGAGATCCCCATCCCGGCTTTGCTGGAAATTCCTCAAGCTGGTATGGATGTGTCCAAAAACGATCAAACACCAGGCAACGGAGGCCCTCTTCGTTGACAAAAACACCTGGATTGGTGTATAGAGACTCAAAACCTTAGTGCTGCACCAAGCTTCATCTCTCAAAGGGAGTGAGATCAACCCTCTCAGAATCCAACAACAAATTAACCTCTGCTAGTACTATCTACAGGAATTATCTCCATATGTTGTGTGCTAGAAATCATATCCAATCAGATTTGAGTTCTTGGGGATTGGCCCCCAAAATCCTCAACATTAACCGGACTTGGGTGCCAGACGCCAGCGTGTTTTCATACCGGGGTGTATGAACAGAACTAGGGCAATCATCTAGCCGAGTCCTTTCATCAGAGCGACGACAGTCTATACAAAAAAAACATCCAGAAACAATCACCTTTACGAGACCCCCAATACGCACGAGGTAGATCAACCAACCAAGCTTTACATACAATCATGATACCAACCAGTAAATTACGAGATGACTCAGATGATCCTTCAATTGGATATCTTCCCGCAGGATCCCTTGACTATCCACAAGTTCCCAAGTTCCCCAAGTGACAAATGCTGCATTCTGCCGGCTGATCCGATGGGCCGACTTCCAGGGTGAGCAAGGGAGGACCGTCAGACCATTGACTCGACCGTGCTTTCCACATCACCTGCGGAGCGGGCTTTCCTGCGGCATTTTACATCTCCGAAGTCACTCAGCTTATCATCCATAGGTACCACTGGTGGTATAAACCCACTATCACTTTTCCGGGGTCTACTACTATTTGTTCCCCACCTCAAAATCCACTCCTGGTTGTGGGGAAATGGCACGCGAAATGGTCAAATGGATGGAACTAGCTGAACAATGCGGGTTCGGACATGGATGGAAATGGTTGAAATTATGACAACTAGATTGCAATGATTCCAAATGCGGGATACAATATACTTTGGACAGTATGGGTCAAGCCATTGGATAAAGAATTGCATTACGAACATGGCACAGTTGAGTAAAAGTAAGTGAGCAGTCAGTACATGGGTTTTAAGATCTTTCACGTGCAGAAAAACTTTCGGTCTCTAAATTTGATCGCAGTCATCTCAACCTCCAATCAAATCATCAAATTGGGCCAGTGAGGCCGTGGTAATCTACCCAGGCCCTATCAATGGCCCGCTTAGCTTAACTCCTAAACTTGAGGTACCATGCCATACTGTACAATATATATAAAGCTTTAGAAAACCATGTCTTGGAGGCATACTGTACTCCCTTTCACATGGTTGAAGGTACCCGTGCCCTGCAAAAGTATGCTTTTCAGCTATGAGATGTTATGATATTTATGATATATTTCCATTATTTTCCATGCATGGCAAAACCACAACTATTGACATCTGAGTTGTCCCAGTACGCTCAACGAATAGACCATCTGTGACCTCCCAAGAGGTACCTCCAAGGCTTCGCGCACGATTTCCGTGCGCCCATGATCCAAACAGGTGCGAAGGGCTGTGTCCATGTCCTTGGTATCCTCTCCTCGGAGTGCGGATGTCATCAAACATGGCCATTTCCTGGGAAATCCCCTAGAAATCGAGATTTTAATGGGAACATTGTCTATAGATGGGTACATATCTATGTCCCTTGATGTCACTTCAATATCACTACCCCGCTAGATTGACGATATGTGACCAGATATGACTATCTAATATAATATATTATATTATATTATAGTATATTAAATGATATTATATTAAATTATAGTATATTAAATTATATTATATTAAATTATATTATATTATATTATATTAAATCAAATTATATTATATTATATTAAATCTTATCTATAAATATATATATATTACTAACTACTAATTATTTAATAAAATATATGTGACTATATATATATGACTATGTACTTATTATCTACTGTATTTAGATATTACTTCAATCACCGGAGTAAAAGTACTTTTTGGTTAACAAGCACGGATCTGATTGATATGATATAATATCATACAAGGGTTCCACAATAATTGTCACCATTGCCAATTTGTGGTTTATGAAGTGGAGTATACCTGTACACCCACTCTTGGGATGCTTTTCAGGCCCCCAAACCGTTGATCATTGTGGATGGTTTGCTATCGTTGGATGCTTTTCAGATTCAGGAAGTCAGATTTCTGTATGTTTACTGTGGTAAAGCTGCCATAAACCAGCACACTAACCATGACTGTGGGGTCATTTTGCATCATCCCGCCCGGGGGATGCCAAAGGTTCATAAACCTCGATTGGGGATGGTTTATTGTTTCGGTTAAATTAGGGTAGCCATGCTGGCTAATCATCATTGTCCCCATCTCAATAGCTACTCTGTGGGGTATCCACCATTTTCAAACACAACCAGATTGGGTTTTCCCATTTTCTGTGGTTGATGTTTACTTAGTTTACTTGATTCCCAGCTCTTTATTTCGCCTGAGACCGCATCTTCACCAGCCATGGCTCCCATGTGCTTCAAGCATGATCTCGCAAGCCCCGCGTGACCTGGGAAAGTCAGGGCCGGGAAGCAGGGCATCCATGGGATCAAATTCGGGTTTCCATAAATGGGGGTACACCAATAGCTGGATGGTTTATAAGGGAAAATCCTATTAAAATGGATGATGAACAGGAGTACCCCCATTGATGGAAACTCCCCAATGGGATTCTACAGTAACCACACAAAAATACGATTTCAATCCACTTCATGGGCTTTTAACATAATATTTTTTGGTATGGGATTATTAGAAGAATCTAATGGGATTATAACCCACTAAAAGGGATATGCACTATGGCAATTCAACATTTTGCTATGATGGAAAAATCACCATAGGTATCTATTCCAGATAGTTTAGATATGTTTGATTACCATCCTGTAAACGAACATAGATGTGGAGAACCTACCATTTGTAGATGATTTTCCGAACTGGTTTCTCCATTTTTTCCTCATTTCTTTGTCTGTTTAGCCTAGGGTACCAAAGGGTAGGTTCATGGAGATGATTGGTGGTGAATTGATGTCACTATTAATTTATTGCTGCAATTAAGGTGAACATGAGGGGATAAAGACTGAGAGTCCTGAAGGTAAATCAAACTTGAGGGACTTGATTCATCTTGATTTCAGCTTTTGTGATTTGGTGCCACATCCGGGAGGAACAGCTCCAATTCCAAGTGATTTGAACCCACATCCATGCAACATATTTCTTGCGACGTTTTGCTCATCGCGCCAGATTTTCATTCGCAAGGCCTGTGAAATCCACCAGAAAGGAAACTGCAATCACTGACTCCAGGCTGTCAGGTACAACCCCCTGGTCAACCAATGATCCAATCCTTCAATCCTGCGAGTTTTCACTCGGGCCCGGTTCACGAATTGCGACAAGTCGCTAAAGTTGGACCGGGGACGACAAACCTTTCTTTCTGCTGGCTAACACTTAGCTGTTAATTTGTGCTGAGATCCCTTTGACGATACAAAGAAAAAGAGCTTGAAACTGAGATTTTTCGAATGAACATCTGTTGATTCTCGGCCCGAACCATCCCTTCTGGACCATTTTCTATAATTCCCAAACCAGACATACGCGATTTTCTGGGTGACCCCCCAATCTGAACCATCATAATACGTTTTTTTGGTTTGGTTGGCTAGCGGGTGAGGTCGCACCACAAGAATGGCTAGTGGATCCCCACTACATCCCATTTCCATTATATACCATTCTGATTGGTTATGGTAATCCCCAGAAAGATAGAACAAATTAAAAAAAAATAGGAATATATACTATGGAATACTGTAATACTCAATCATACTCCATTCTGATTGTTTTTTTATTAATTAATCATTAATCATCACAATTTCAGTATAGGAATTGCCTTTGGTTTTTTTTGAAGCTTTGCTATCATCAATTTGCTCAGAGCAGCCAGCACGCAGGGCATAGTCCAACAAAAGTCGTGGTTTGCACGGCATAGGATCTCCACCTCAGGGATGCCCGTGGCCATGGCGACCATTTACTTTTCTATCTGGAGAATAGATCAACCTTGAATAGATCAACCAACACAGTTGAATAAACCATGTATAATTAAAGATGGTCCAGCCATCAGGGTCAAAGCCAGCTTTACTTGGTCAAACTCTCTGTTTGCCTAAGAATTCCCAACCATTTCTTGGTGAAAATACGCAATGTAAATCCGCCATGCCCAGAAAACACCTTCATTTGAGGTGGTGAAATCACTAAATACCGACTGATTAGCCCAGCATTCATCCCAAAAGTTCCTCATGAACCCTCCCTTATTTCATGGCCAATCTTACATACCCTGCATTTTCCTTTACTAGTAGCTAGTAGGTACAGTATATATTTATAGTATATATTCCGATTCATTAAGACAGAGCAATACTTTCAATCCCCAAAAAACCTAGCATGGTAATTTTCCAACATTTGGCAAACCCATTAGAAAACAAATAGAAAAGTAAAGCTTATGACCAACCTCCATTCTAATTGCCAGATTTCATTAAAAAAACACCAGAATATATAAAAAGTCATTTGCGATCATGCTAGATCCATTAGTATTGATGTTTCCATCTTTATTGGGAGTTGCTATATTATCATCTGGTTTGGAAAACTCATTTTCAATTGGGAACATGGATGCAACATAGCTCCAAACCATTCCCTCCATTCACCACCGGATAGTTCCCTGACTATACGGCCACTTGTGCTATGCTATGCCCCAACGTCTTTCGAGATGATTGTCGGGAACCTCATTTTAGCTGACCCTTACAGTACTTTGTGGCCTTCCACTATGTTGGGATGTTATAACTTGATGTCTCTGGGTTTGCGAACCCGACGTGTTTGCTGACCCTCTGCGGGGATTCGCCTGTCTGGCAAGATTGGTTTCCGGCACTTTTTACATAGACATAGACCCTAAAAAAACTAGAAAAACCATAGGAAAAAACACTAAATCAACCTTAAAGAAACCCTAACGAATCCCGAAAAAAACCCTAAATGAACCCTTGAAAACATCAAAAAACAACTTTAAAAAAAACCTGAAAAAACGTGTGAAAGTGTATATAGTGAAGTACCTGTGGGGTGTGGGCGGTAACTATGGAGATAGTTACCATTAACCCTAGATATGCGGGCTACAGAGCGATTTAGAACTGTAGGGGGCACCAAAACGTCATCAAAAAAAACATAAATCCATGCCGAAACAAAAATGTCCTCAAAACAAAGGATACGAAAGAACGATCGTTTCAGACCATTTTTTGTTTTTCATTTTTGTTGTTCCCTCTCTCTATCTTATTTGTGCCAGAGTCAAAAAATTGCAAATTATGTTTGGTCATCCGCCCTATAATGGGAATCCAAACATCATGGGTTAATCTAGATCCCCCGTGGATTGATGACTTCCAAAAGAACTGTTTAATTATAGTTCATTGTATATCCCATGGCATATCATGTGCATTGGTTCAATCCAACTAACTTGACCACCTCTGGTGACGAAAAAACATGAAATCATCATAAGATCCCATTCATCTCCCATGAAATCACCATAAAATCACAACGAAATCCCACTCAGCTCCAATAAAATCACGACATATCTCCAGGCATCGACCAAGGCACGCTCCAAGAGTGCCGCCAGCACCGTCCAGGCTCCCGCGGCATGGGCCTTGCGGGCGAAGGACCCGTCGCCTGGCGAGATGCAAAAATCATCCAGTGGTAAACCCAACAATAGTAGTAATGCTTAAAACAAATAGTGCTAATAATACTTGTAGTACTACTACTACTACTACTGCTACTACTGCTACTACTACTACTACTAATACTACTAATACTACTAATACTAATACTTCTACTGCTACTGATACTACGAATAGTACTTCTACTACTACTACTAATAATAATAATGCTTCTACTACTACTACTAATACTACTAATACTACTACTAATACTACTAATACTAATACTTCTGCTGCTACTGATACTACGAATAGTACTTCTACTACTACTACTACTACTTCTACTGCTACTACTACTACTACTAATACTACTAATACTAATACTTCTACTGCTACTGATACTACGAATAGTACTTCTACTACTACTACTAATAATGCTTCTACTACTACTACTACTACTTCTTACTACTACTACTACTAATAATAATAATGCTTCTACTACTACTACTACTACTACTACTAACGAACATTATGTAATTAATAATGACGTTGATAATGAAAATAATAGTAATGATGCTGGTAGTAACAGGTTTAATAACATTAATAGCAATATTAACAATAATAGTCAAAAAATATTATGAATAATGATAAAAGTTTTGATACAAAATAGTTAGTACTAATAATGCTTGTGATAATAATAATGATAACAGTAACAACACTAAACATAATAGTACAATAGTACTGATAATAATACGGGGTTTATTCGGAGTTATTCTGGGATGATCCAAATGGTTAAACTGTGGACGTTGTACCAGCCACCACAATAGGCAACGACTCGCGTCGGCATAAACATATGAGATTATCCAAATGAATATCAGAGGTTGTTCTGGCAGTTCCTATTAGTTGGGATAATAAACTATTAATGGGATGGGAGTTCCTCGTGGTAATTAAACCCATGCCATAAGCAACTACCATCAACGGGGGTGGTTAATACCACCCATCTATGGTAAGTCATTGGGAATGGTTTATGACATTGGGTTTATCACATTAGTTATTGAATCGTGGGAATAGACATGGGATTAATAGACGTTATATGTGTAATGGCTCGATTAGTGACGTAAAATATTGGTAATATGATCATTTTTGTTGAGATTAGCAATGCAGTATTAGTATATTGATCCCATGACTAATACCTAATCTGTTTATGCATGAGAATTTTCAGAGATTGATGGGTGGATTCATGATGACCAAGCAGTTGCATAGATACCAGTCATATGTGGCTTTGCAACCACAAGATCCGGCCACTTCACCAAACAATCTGTTCGATGGCTTGTTTTCTAGACTTGTCTTGAGGATTTTGAGAGATTGTTCAGTGGAATTCTGGGATGTTTGATTTTTGTTGGGATTTAGAATGATGCAGTGTCGTTATTTTGAGTGGATGTTGGTGAATTCTTTGGAGGGTGATTGGGGTTCCAACAAATATGGGGTGTAACAACATTCTTCCTGTTTGGGAGATTTTATGGAATATTTGGGGGCGGAATGAGGCAACAAGAATGCAGCTGTAGGGTTTCTTATGATTGAGGGTTTCTCTTGAGCATCGCTGTTTGGGGGTTGCTTCAACACTGGAAATCTAATATAGGTAAATATAAGGACCTTTGAATACCCCCAAGAAAACGCAGATGGAACGTAAAAGAAGCTGCCGACATGTCCTCTTTGAAAGGGTGAAAACGGGGACATGGCCTTGAGAAAAAGGAACAACAAACGATACAATGGTTGTGCTATGAATGTGGTGAACCCAATAAAAACAATCTCTGGAAACAACCACGGAGTCATTCTACATCATCCCAAGAAACCAAGAAACGTCCAGTACACCCAATTTCAGACTTCAGAAACAACAATTTTGGATGGTGACTTTTGCAATTTTGGTCCCATAAATTCGATGAACAATTCCCAGAGTCATCCCAGAAGTATCCCCTGATGATTTGCTCCACATCAATCAGTAAGAAAAAACCAAGATCTACCAATATTATCCAATATTCACTAATACTACTGGATATGAACTATATCATATCTGCTTGGTGGTATATCCTCTGAACAATATCAGTTGGGATGATGACATTCCCACTAGATTCAAAAACAAAAATTATGTTCCAAACCACCAACCAGATATTAATCAACAGGAACTAATCTCAACTCATGTGACCCCGTCCGCCCCTGCCTGGCAGGCTGTCCAGTTTCGCCAGTCCGTCCAACAGCAGCCGCTCGGCCACAAGGGGCATGCGCTCCTGAGCCAAGGGTGGCTTTTTCATGGTGTTTAATGTGGGTAAAACAATGCCATAAACCACCCATTTGGGAATGGGTTATACATGGTTATACCGCGCCACCAATTTATGGTGATGTGGTGGATGCCTCATTATTGTTTTACCCACATTAATAGGGCTTTAATTTGATCTAACAATCTACATTATATAGGGCTGTTGAATGCTTGGCGGCTCATCACACTTAGTAGGTAAAACAAAAAAAACTATAGTTGTAAGTGGAGTAAGCCTACTTATCCCACAAGGAAAACAAGGGATATAACCTACTTACTAAGTGGGATGAGCCACCAAGTGGGGATTTAACATGATTTAACAATCTAGAATGTGGATCTAATGGGAATGCAGTGGGTATAGAACCCATGAATACCAATGATATATTTTGAGGTTTGATCGTGCCATTTTGAGAAATAAACCACGTATATGTGGGAGATCTATGAATCTATGAATATCTCCAGCTATATCTAAGGTTATAAATTATAAGCCACATATCTACTTGGCCTCAGGTAATCAAACATGGCTTGCTGGAAAACCCCATGAAGTTCGATTAAGTTGCCAGCTTATAAACCTTGATTTAGTTTGGGGGTTTTCCAGCCACATTGACACCAGCGGGTATAGCGACCCCCAAAGGTCGAAGAGTCAGAAGCGTGCTAAACCTAGGATGGTAGTTTGATGATGTTTGCTCCATATTTTCCAGTGTGTCAACCTTTGGCCATCGACCTTTTTTCTGTAGCTCTTTGACACCAACAGAATATGTGGGATGCTGATGAGAAACACATATTGATTATCAATCTTTAAACATAACTTATGGTGACAGTTTTATATAGTATGTTTCAGCAATAAGCCTTTGGGAAGTTTAGGACAAACGGTGGATAATTGGACTCTGCGAGGGTGTGTGGTTCGGGCAAAATCAACATGATTTTAGATAATTTTTATGGATGCTCCTGGAGTTTAGAGGAGTTTAGTAGATCTGTTATAGGTTTTTGATGGGTTCTTCACCATGTCAGAGGCTCCTCAATGGCCAGGGGCAGCAAATCCAGCTTCTGGGTTTGTTGGCTGGCCATGAACAGGTCCTGATCGAACGATTCGCAGATCTGGGAAAATATGCAGGAAATACTGTGGATGGTCGCGAAATCCTGCACCAGCTGATAGATGGTGTATCCCATTATTTATAGGGTTTCAGCCATCGTTTTGGTGGTGAGGATTTCGCAACCATCCACAGTATCATTGCTTTAACCTGGATAACCTGGTTTACCGTCTGGTAATCAATCATGGCCATGCAACATCCACTATTTATAGATGATTTTCCAATGTGAATGCTGTACCCATTTATAAGGGATTCCCCGTTGCGATGCTTGATTTCCGGAGGGTAACTCAGCTTTAACCAGCTTTAAACATCAAAAATTGAGATATTTGGTTAGTCACTGGGTTGGTTGAAGGGAACAAATATAGAACACCTGTATGTGTGGGGGATTGTGGGGGTAACAAAGTGGGGTCCATCGAAACCCGATTTCTTCGGCAATGCTTGGTATTTTGTCAACACCTGAGTCCATAATCCCATCCTAAGACTCAACAGACCCAATGGTCCAGTAAAGAATCCTCATTGGTGTCCGGGGGGTTGATCCAAGCCATCATCCCACAGACGGAACCATGGCTTAGTATTGAAACAACCATGGTGACGACATGGGATCCCCCAATATTCATCACGCCCCGCTTCAGATGATCATTGAAATTGCGGTTTGAACCATAGTCGGGATCCCTGCAAACTATTGCCAAACTAGAGTGATTTTCATCAACCTTTGGTGCATAATGTCAAAGAAAAGAGCGGCGAGCACGTTGAACCCCAACAACTGAAGGTTGATCAACATCCTAAGCCAACAGACTCTCGAACTCAATTTTCATATCACTTCTGGTTGTGGTGTTACTGGAACCAGGTCTGAAATTGTGGATTAACCGGTATAAATATCAACAAATGCTACATGTAGATAAGAATGTAATTATATAAGATAACCATTATAGATCAATTTTGATATGTCAAACCAGACATATGATCAAATTTGAAATATAAACAATTAAAACCGATTAAGCTATATAGTTGGTATATAATGTATATAAAGCAGCACCATCAAGAATCACCATCAGAACCATTTGATGGTTCCATCAATTTTTGCCACCCTTGTCTTCCCAGTAAATTCCCACCATAGGGAAATGAGGGTTGCTGGGATGATTGTGAAAACAGTTATGGGATCATTCTGCAATTCCCCATAGTTATGGGTTGGATCATTCTCCATAGTTATTATGATGGTTTGCACCAGTTATCAACAGTCATGTTAATAGTAATTTCTTCATAGTTATGGAGTTATGGGTTGGACCATTCCCCCATTCAGAGGTAGGATGGTTGAGTAAAATAATCATGATCCAGTATGGAAACCACTGATTATGGTGAAAATAACTAATTCTAGCATCCGATCAATAAAACCATCTCATATATTTTTCCCGGCACCCATATTTTGTTGTATTCGTTTTCAATTACCCACTTTACTTTTAGCATTCGGCCATGTTGTTGGCCATGAAAAACCACCCACGATAACATAAAATTTTTTCGGGCCGACCAATTTTTGGTCGATACTGGTTTTCAATTGTACCCCTTTACTTTTAGTAATTATATGGCATTCCCTTTTCCCACTAAAACCTCCATTTACAAGGGATTTTCCCCACTAAAACCGCAATTTACAAGGACATTTCCCATTAAAACTTTCATTTACAAAGGATTTTACTAAAACCTCCATTTACACGAAATTGTCCCACTAAGACTAAAATCTCAATTTGAAATAAATTTGAAACCAGTGTGAAAGCCTAAACAGCACCACTTGGAGAGCATCCATCCATCGAAGCACCTTCTGAAACTTTTCAAACCTGTTTCAAACACCCACCCGTTTGGGGGCCTTGTCAAAGCATTTGGGAACTCAAAGGTCCCAAACAGTGCTTTGGATAGATTGCTCTCCACATGCTGCTTTCTAGGGTTTCAAGCTGGTTTGAAGGTGGTTTCAGACTCGTTTCCGATTGGTTTCAAATTGAGCTTTTAGTGGGAAAATCCTTTGCAAATGGCGGTTTTCGTAAGAGAAGCACTTGTAAATGGGACAATCCGTTGTAAACGGAAGTTTTTGTATGACAAATCTCTTGTGATTGGCCATCGACAAGACGCAAAAGTGAACAAACACCTGCAAAAATCAACATGACCGGTACATGTTTGAAACTTGTGTAAAATTGAAATCCTGAAAAACATATAATTCGGGGGGGTAACCCCCTTATGAATCCGATGCTAAGATTGCTATCAGATTATCATTAGTAAGATATTCCCCCATAGTTATTATAGTCATTAGTTATTATGGATCCTTCCCCCATTATTAAGCTAGTGTGTATATATATATATGGGTATGGGTCAAATCTAAGTGCCTATGGGACCACAGCTTTTAGTGTATGTTAGTATTTAGATAATCTAAGTATTGGGGAACCCAATTTTGACCCATACCTATATATATATATAAATATGATAAACATGGTTGCAATCCCCACCTTTTCACCCCGCCTTGGCCATCTCTGCAGAGTGCTTCCCCGCTTTTCCCTGCTCAGCCGCGTGGGCGGCGCGCAGGGTGGCGGGGACACCCTGCATGAGCAGCAGATCCACCACGGGGCGGTTGCCTGAAGAGGTAGGAAAAACATGGGGAAAACCTGGGAAAAACATGGGACAATATAAGAAAATATGGAATAAATATGGGGACATCTTCTCTAAATGGAAAAATCATCGAAGTAAATTCGTGTTTTATTTGATTATCCGATGGTATTCATAACTGCTTGGATATTATTTATAGCCTATAGCAACCAAACAAAACATGATTCGTTCATTACAATCTTAGTTGAGTTTCTCTTGTCTACCTTATGGGAGTTGCTCTATGTCTGCTTGGATATATTGATGGTCTGGTACCCCTGAGATTAGATGGTTGATAACTACTAGTTATATTCAGTATCAAATGATAAATTATGACTATTATGACATTGACAATCAGACCACATTTTCAACTGGGTATAATTTATGATAATTTATGATCCCCTCCCCAAAAAAACAAAATACAGTAATCTAGCTGAATTATCATGATTCACCCACCTGAAGCCTGGTGTTGGATGATTTCCCATGGTGATGTCACTGTGAGGTCGATGCAATGCGACGCAGGAAACGTAGATTGATGAAGAACTGGGGTCTACTACAATCCATGAAATAGTGAAGTGTGTACATATGTGATCATATGTGTATATAGTGACGGACATATACTTAGAACATCAATTTTTCCAAAATTTCGGAACCTTTTCTTAGAACATCAAAACAACTACACATAGAACATCAGAAATGTTCTAAGTACGCACTTAGAACATCAGAAAAACAGATACTTAGAACATCTCCTTTGATTTTTTGCATACTTAGAACATTAATCACACATATACTTAGAACATGTCCTGTTACTTTGGTAAATCTGCATATATACACACAAATACCTTGGTGAACACCATACTTAGAACACTTTCTCCCCTCACTGCTGTAGCATTCTATACCTTTTCTTCGGGAACAATATCCCAAGCAGTCTTCGCTGCAATGGGAAGGTCTCTAGTATATAATTTGTGGGTTTCCTACAGGGGGTAGTCAAAAAGCATAGGTTTCAATACATATATGTATGGTTCCCATTGGTTCCCCACTGGGATGTTCTAAGTATAGCTTGGAAATGTTCTAAGTATAGGTTTTGGGTATGTTCTAACGACTTAATACTTAGAACATCCCCGCTGTGACGGTTTTCAGATTTTTTCCAAATGATGTTCTAAGTATTTGTCCGTCGCTATATATCGCATAATCTGAGGACATGATAAATAATAGGTTTAATTGCCATTCCACTCTGGATATGAAGTAAGTAGTTTGATTATTCAGCAATTGGTTTCGCTTTTGTCAGAAATTTTAAAAACAAGTGAGCAATGATTTTTCTTGGAGCCCGTCAATTCCCCAAAAGTGTTGGCCAAAGGTCAGCGAAACTTGACAGTTCAAAAAAAACTCTGGGTTTGTAGAGTTTCCAGTCCATGGCCCGAGAACCGGTTGTTTCGATGTTCTGAGAAGAATCGCCAGTTGATGCTGGCAGAACCAGGCGGAAAATCCACTCCTTCCAAGTGATTCGTACTATTGAAACTGGCGAAGTTCCAAACAGTGTATTTTTCATGATTTTGCAAGATTAGCCGGAACAAACTGGAACCGCCACGTAATAATCTCCAAATTTGATTCAAATAATCAGGCTGGGTCGGTTTGGTACCCCGGGAATATCAACATGCTGCTCAAAAATGACCAACAAATTGCCACATCCCACCAGTAAGAAAATTGTATATTCCCAGCATTTTCCAACCCAGTTGTACCTGGGGGTGCCTCCCAGTTATTAAGTGTGTGGTGGCCACAATATACCCAAGTTTTGCGTGGAACAGCTCCAGTCATATATGCATACATTTTTATATTTACATATGCATATTTACCGTATGGGTATTGATATACATACGGTCCATATGGGTGTAGTATAAATATGTATGTATATATATATATATGCGAGTGCGTGTGTATGGGTTAAAAACAAACACGTACCAACTGGGACGCGCTACTTCCCGCTCCGAGATACCCATCTTGGCTGCTGCCTCCAGGGCATGCCCTGCTTCACCTTGGAGTCTGGTGGATCACTCGTGCTCTCTGAGAGTTTGAGTTCTTTTCTTTTGCATCGGGAAAAATTGATCCAACCCACGAACCCGAATGCACATCACACAAAAAACTTTTTCTGAAACAAGTTGTATCAACAGCCTGGTAAATCCTCCCCTGTTCCTGTGCCATTGTATTGTGGAGTGTGGAGTTGGGGGGGTGCAGCGAGTAGTGGAGTGGACTGTAGAATGGTGAATCGAGTGTAGAGTGTAGTGTGCGGAGTGGGAATTGAGGAGTGTAAAGTTTGGAATCTGGAGTGCAAAGTCTTCTCATCTTATCACAGCTCCTCTCAGCACATCTCAGCTCTCTTGAACTCTTTGAGGTTCATCTCAGCCCTTCAGAGCTTGAGCTTGTCTTGGCTCTCCCCAGGACATGTCCGCACTTCTCAGCTCATCTCAGCTCTTCTCAGCTCATGATATTGCCTCGGCTCATCTCAGCTCTTCTCAGTTCATCTCAGCTCTTCTCAACTCATCTCAGCTTTTCACTTCTCTTCCTAGTTCTTCTCGGCCTTTCTCAGTTCCCCTCCGCTTTTCTGAGGACTTTTCAATTCATCATGAACCCATCTCAGCTCCGCAGCGCTTCTTGGCTCATCTCACTTCGCCTCCGCTCATCTCAGCGCCGGGCCTTCGGATCTTCAACTCTTCTCATCTCCGCAGTGCTTCTCGTCTAATCGCAATTCTTCTCACCTCATCTCAACTCATGCCCGCTCTTCCCAGCTCTTCCTAGCCCCACTCAGCGTATCTTGGATCTTCCCGGCTGCTCGCAACAGCACAAGGCAGGCCGGCGTCGAGAAACAATCTATAGCTAGCAGCGCGGGGCATCCGCAGGGCAGGGCACCCCCTTATGCGATGAAAACAAATGAAGTTATAATATGTTATAATGTAACTTTTGTAAACGATGTGACCGATGAACATGAAGTAGGTGATGATGATGATGATGATGACGATGATGATGACGATGAAGACGTTGTTGATGATGATGATGATGATGACGACGATGCTGATGTTGATGCTGATGCTGATGCTGATGCTGGTGGTGATGATGATGCTGATGCTGATGCTGATGCTGATGATGATGATGATGGTGATGATGGTGATGATGGTGATGATGGTGATGATGATGATGATGTTGAATAACCATAATACTAATACCCTACAACACCCCCTTTACTATGTATACTGTATATGGTTTCTCCCATCTAGGGAGAGACGCCGTATGAAAACATGTTTTTTCAGCATTTTTTTTTTGGGTGTCTGATTCTTTGATTTTCGATGATTTTCGCCTGGACCTCCAACGGGAAGAATTTTCTTGTAGTTCTTGTGTTTGCCTAAATCGCTAAGTTTTTTGTGCAAACGACTATCTTGACAAGAATCACCCATTCCCATGGTTTGAACCGGTTTGCAGCCATTCTACAACTTTTTGGCATGCCTCTTTGGTACAGCAGTTTATCTGCTATCAATTCAATCCATTAGTGCTTGAAAAATAAAGATGCATTATAGGCCATTAGGCAAATCAAGATTTGCTCCGCAGAGCACCGAGGAGCTTTGTGGCAGTCTAAATGGATACTGAAAGCGCAATGATTCGCAAATACCACAGAAGCCACTGAAAGACGTTTTTTTGCGACAACATCGCCCCGCAAAACGCCCGCAAATACCCCGCAAACGGCCGCAAATACCCGCAAACGCCCGCAAAACCAGAAAAGTTGTAATTCTGGTTGTTTTCTAATCAGGGGAAGTTCTTTTTCCAGCGTTTCTGCTAGATGGGCTTATTAGAAGCCTGAAAATTCATACCCAAGCAATGTGGCTCTGCCATCAGTATGCGTGGGTGAAAGGGAGAATATTGGCTTGGAGATGCAATGGGGGCACCCAAGAAACTTGAAGATATATGCACCTCCAAAACTCGATCTGATTTTCGTTAATTCGCAATGATTTCCAGCAACACGCCGTGAACGACATGTTTTTTGCAACCACATGGAATCATGAACGCCTAGAAAAATCTTGTCAAGGGAGGATCCTTTCTTTTGCACAGGTCCAAAAACATTTAGCCGGAGAGTCATGTCCCCCTCCGCCTGAGCGGCGTTCTTGTCACTTTATCGGACCGGGGTTTTTGGGTGGGCTCTTCCCGCATCCTCCGTCACAAGAACATACCTATAAACTCATGTACCCAAAAAAACTGGCGCAATCCGAAATGACAAGAATTTATGGCGCATTTGTTGAAGAATGGCGTTTTGAAGCAAAACAGTAGCATTTATCCAAAAACGGCGCAATGAGAATTCCAGTGTATTGGTGAATTTGTATGACTCTATCAATGACCACCCCACCACATACCCATTCAGGATTTGGATCAAATCTAGGGTTCCTGAAGCTGAACTCATGTTCCCCTGATGGTTTGATCATGGAAAGTCCTTTATTTATGTGTAAAATGAGTTGTAATAATTTTGAATCAACATCATCCAATCGAATTGCTAACATGTCAGCCACCACACCTGTAAGGCAGGCCCAGGATCATAGATGGTCATCGATGCCACCAGAATTTCGGGTAACATGATATTATTGACCCACAAACAGGTTTCCATGACCAAATCACCACTTAGTGCTATTTACCCCGAGCTCATGACAATCCACAACCACCTTTCCACAAGCTTTTCCCGGCTGTGGCTGGCGGTGATGATCCTGCACCTCGAGCAGTTCCAAGCTGGGAGCCCTGAAATAACCACAGAGATCCAGGGACCAAGCAAAGGGACATTTCACCCTTTCATTTGGGATTTTCGTTTTAATAAGTGTCGCCGTATAACAGCTTTGGTCTTTAAGAAATACCTTTGCATCAATCTCAGCCCCAATGTTTTGGTTGCTAGCCTACGGCTCATGCGAGCCGTGTGACCAATATGGTCCTCATTCATTTCGCAAGCGTAGCAGGCTGGATTTAAAATTTTTGGGGCACGTGTTTGCAAAGCAAGTTTCAAATCATACCCTAAATGATGGAGGGCATGAAGCTTGGGCTTCATTCGAAACCCGGCCATCTCTTGGTCTACAAAATACTTGGCCACTTGCTTGTAGCCCCGAACAACCACCATGATGTGACAGTACAATCTCATTGCGCATTTCCGAGGCATTCATAGAGGATGCTTGTAGACTAAGTCGCACATCTCTATCGCATTGGTAGCCACTCGCAGCAGCACTCTTAGAATTCTTTCATGTGTTGCCCATGAATCCTCCACATTGTCAAGCTTTAACCTCAGAGTCCATGCCAAGAAGTGTAGAATCAACATTGTGTCGCTTCCCTTCGAGTTGCACCACGCTGAGCTACCCGTGTTTGCATAATTGAAGAACAGCTTTGTGAAGCTACGCAAGCCTGGATTCTTTTGTTCTGCTCTGCACCATAGTACAAACCATGAGTGGCAACGCTCCAGCCTTTTGGGAACACTTGTAGATTCATTAGGGATGTCGAACCACCCCAGATAACAAAGCCACATCAGCGCTGAGCCACACACATCACGGCCCACACCTACTTTGAATACATGGAAATGGTCTAGCTTGTAGAGCATTTCTGGTTTGGCATTGTCAAAGGGAACTTGGAGGAAAGGTGGTGGGTTATCACTGTCCCACGGTCTCTCTGTCCACATTGAACTGGCCCAACCAGGCTCATGTTGAACATCTTCCATCTCATATTCCGTAGTCCCTGCCAAGCAAATACTGCAGCAGGGTATATTTCTGACAGAGCCCATGTTCTGGTAAGATCTCTTGAGGTGAGCCACAACCTGAGCTTGAAATTTGAAACCGCCTTTGCTTCCAACCAATGCCGCAAAATAGCGGCGGCCCCCAACCAACAAGCCATCAGTAAAAAGTAATGTCAAATCTTCAGCAACCTTTTCAAGGTGCCTGAGAACCAAGTCATATTTGTTGCCATAGAGGTAGCCAGGAATCCCAAAGAGTAAATACCGGGTCAAGAAGCTGTGCCCCTTGTAGTTGGTACCCACCAATGAAACGGCTTTCATCGAATCAGTTTCTGGAAGCAAGGCTTCATGACATTGTGGTAGCCAACCCGGTGAGAAATCAAGCAATCGTTCTTCACAACCACACACGCACTCAGACTCCAACTCGTCTAGGCCTAAACATGACTCAAGTGTACCGGCCATGTAACCAGCCCTTTTGGGTCCACGGCCTTCATCTCCCCAGAATTGTACAGGGAAGACAGTATGCAACTTGTCTCCATGCTGCTGGTACACAGCATGAGTGGGATGTTGGAAACGGTAGAGGTCCCAAAAACCACGCAATTGATCTTCCAAACTTGCATAGCCACCAGCCAGAAGTTGAGGGTATTTTGAGATCAAGCAGGAAAGCCAATCTGAGGGTTGCACGTACTCTATGGAAATCATGCTGCCATCAGGCAGAGTATGGTCCAGTTTCCGTATTGGAATTGGAAGGGTCAAATTTTGTTTTCTGAAAAGTGTATGGAGATCCCTTTCTGCATTTTTTGCTTTCCTGTAATCCTCTTCTGTTTTGTTCTCCGCGTACCCATCACCAACACCGGCCCCGAGGCCAAGGTTTCGACCACTAAAGTGGAGGGCTCCGACCTGCTTGACTTTGCGAGCGTGGTCCTCGGCAGACAGAGTAGAATTGGCAAAGAGACAGAGAAAATTACTTTACTTCGTGCAATCCCCACCGTGACATTTATACATTTTGTTACTGGCAAATCTTCTGGCATTCTATCTGACATATCTTCTGGCATTCTATCTGGCATATCTTCTGGCATTCTATCTGGCATATCTTCTGGCATATTATCTACTCAAATCTTCTGGCATTCTATCTGGCAAACATTCTGGCACTTTATCTGTCATATCTTTTGGCATTCTATCTGACATTTTATCTGGCATTCTATCTGGCATATCTTCTAACATTCTATCTGGCATATCTCCTGGCACTCTATCTGGCATATCTTATGGCATTTTATCTGGCATATCTTCTCGCATTCTATCTGACATTCTATCTGGCGTATCTTCTGGCATTCTATCTGCCTTTGAGGTCCAGCGGTGCGCACTGAGCTCGGAAGGCCCCAGGTTGAGGTCCAGCGGTGCGCACTGAGCTCGGCAGGTCCCAGGTTGAGGTCCAGCGGTGCGCACTGAGCTAGGAAGGTCCCAGGTTGAGGTCCAGCGGTGCGCACTGAGCTGGGAAGGTCCCAGGTTGAGGTCCAGCCATGCGCACTGAGCTCCGAAGTTGGCGAAGAGCTTGGCCAAGAGTTGGCAAGGCAACAGTGGACGTGGAAGTGGAGGCAGAGGTGGTAGACTTAGAAGAGGAGGAGGACGCGGAGGAGGAGGAGGAAGGAGGAGGAGGAGAAGGAGTAGGAGGACGAGGAGGAGGAGGAGGATGAGGAGAACAGCCCTGATAAAATCTAACAACCCTCTCCTGGCAGCTGGGGAATTAGCAAATAGAACTTCAGAAATGCATTGTTGGGCAACTTTTTGCATCATGAGGTTGTGTTTTTCACTTCAGGTCCCTATCTATCATCATGACTCTGGGGCCCCAACCCCATCTCCCATGCTTTCTGCCAATTGCTCCAGCATCATCCGATCTCGTTTTTTGTCATCACCTGGCATGGCCAACGAATTCCGGTAAAAGACTTGTGCCTACTGATTGCCAAATAGGTAGCACACCCCTAGATGTTGATGTGAGATTGTATTCAAGAATTTCGCTGCAAACACCCAATCCGGCCACCCCCTTTTCATTTTCAACACCCTCAGAGCCATGTGATCCACGTGTCACCCCGCGTGCAAAGCTTTACCCCAAGCACCACACAGGTTACTGTGCTGTTCACAGGGATGGGTGTTGTCGAAAGACTATCTAAACACAAGCATCGCTGATGTTCGCATCAGCCAGTCAAAATCAAAAGCTTACGATTTTCGTTTCTTAGCCGGAGGGGTCGCAGCGCCAGTTGCACTGCGCTTGGGGGTTGCAGCAACCTTTGCATCGGCCTTTGAGGCCACAGGCGCCGACTTGGCCTTTGCTTTGGCCTTGCTCTCAGGGCTGGGTTTTGCCGCCGCTTTCACTTTCGGTTTGGCTTTGGCACCTGCGGACTTCTCACCCTTAGGAACCAATGACCTGGCAAAGGCCCAAATCAAGAACAAACAGACGCAAAGGATTAAGTGATCAAAAGACTCAGGACAACAGGCCGAAGGTGTACACTTGTTCGCACTTTGTTGAAGCCAACAAATCAAATGAATTCGCAGACATGGTAATACCACAGCAATATGAAAGGATCGAACCTGGACCGACTCTCCATTGTGAGAGCTTCCACAGCCCTAAGCCAATTTGCAAAATCAAATTCAAAAGTAGTAGTAAGCGGGGTCACAAAGCTCAACCCCTTTTGCTTTATGCCTGACTGCGGTGGCTTGAGGCCAGAGCAGCCGACGAGCTTTGTCCGCTTCCTCTCTCAAGGACTTTTGGGCCCTTGCGACGGTGGGTGCTAGCAAAAAGTTAATTTTAGGCTGGATTATGTTGGAATGTTTTTGAAAGGATGCATGCATGTCAGTAGAACTCAGTACCAGACTCCTTCTTGAAACCTGCCACCACACCATGGGTGTACTGTGACATCATCTTCTCTTCCACGGAAGTCAGCTCAGTGACAAGGCTGCGAACTTTCTGGAGCAACCTGATTCGAGATATCACCCCAGTTTTGCTGTAACTGAGTTGGGATCCAGTGTTTGGATTTGAACACAAAGTCTATAAGCGGTTTTGGAGAGCTGAGTCAAAAACGCTTCTTGTACTTGATTTCTGGTGGTGATGCTTTGGAACTTCTCGATCAGCTGGTTCAGCTTTGAAACCCTTTTCTGAATGCAGGAGGAAACTTTGGGATAATCCTGTGGGTTGAACTTACCAGTCTCGATGGTGGGAAAAGAAAGCTGCTTAAGAACTTTACCTCGTTCATCCCCACCATCATCGTCAGTGTCCTGCTCTGCCTCCTCCTCTGCCGCAGCACCACCTTAGCCAAGCAGGATTGGCCCTGCAGCAGAAGAGCCGAAGCGAATTCAGGACTGAACCCGAGTATGCACCTGTTGCCCCTGTAGTGTTGGTTTCAGACCTGGTTAGCATAATTTCCTAGCATATATATATATTATTATTATTATTTATTATTATTATTATATATGTTATATTTTGTTATATTGTTTAATATTTTATTTTTATATTCTATGATATTCATATTATATTAAATTTGATTACTTCATATTATGTTATGGTATATTATATTATATTAAGTTATATCATAATATTTAAAATCATATTGAATCATATTAAATTACATTTTAAAATATAATTAAATATTTTGTTATATTATATACTATTTAATATCGTATTATATTATTTATTGTATTATATTCTATTTTATTTCATACAATATTTTTCAATATCTGATGCAATATTGCAAAAATTGTACAATATTATTTATATTGTATTGTATTATATTTTACTTTAATATATTATTTTATATTATATTTTTAAATTTCAAATTGTATTATATTGTATTTTACTATATATATATAACAAGCAGCAGGAAAACCTGAAATAAAACAAAAAAAAGGTATTGCATGTTCTCTGGGACACCTCCCTCACCTCCCAAAGCACCTCCCCAACTGGTGCCAACACGTGTGACACCGAAGGAGGATGCTGTCTCCTCACGCTCCATCATCTCTTGCAGCATATGACGCGTGGTTCGCCTCAAGCAAAATGGAGTGGCCTGGGTTTGGTGGAACCATAAAGGGTTAAGGTTGGAAACACAAAGGCTGGGGAGTTACTGTATTTCATTCAGTTTAAGCCAATGGAATTCCATGGAAACTCCTTAGGCCAAAAGGCTTGTTCGTGCCACTGACCTTTTTCAATGTCCAGTACATAGTCCCATCGCCATACTTTGAACTCCTGGTCGGGATGTGGGGCACCCCAATTTGATTGGTAGGTCTTGGAATATTTCCACCAAAGTGTACCAAGAAAAGATTTATATTTAAGACCGATAGCTTGAGGGGCACAGAAAAAATCAAAGAAAGAAGTGCGGGGTGGAAGTTGCTGATCAGCTTATTAACCCCACCAGCCCTGTCCTAGTGTAGCCGGGCCGGGATTCGCAAAACTTCTTGATGCCTTTAATCTTCTTCCTTGCCAAGATGGCTGGGTGCTCTCAGATACTATAAACACCAAACACCACCAAACCATTGTTGAAGACACAGTGTTTATTTTGAGCATGGTAGAGGATTAGTTATGAGGACATCCCATATGATATCTACAACCTCAGATCTAAACATGTTATGACCAAGTGTTAAGTATGCAAGTATCTAGTGCATGACATTTGTGGTATTTTATTCCGATCGTTGCAGAAGCTCACAATGCTGGAGATGAAACTTATCCCTTGGTAAAACCATTTGTCATTAATTGGGCCCATGATGTTGCAGGTAGGGAAAATGCGTTTGAAGTGAAGACAAACCAGAATGTGTCAGTAGAATCAACATGCACCAATGCACCCTTTATTTGTCAACATCATCCATCATACACTGAGAGTCTCAGAAAATTTTGCTTCTTTCATGTCTTCCTCGGTCATGAACTCATAGTCATCTGTCATGACTGCTCATTGATTTGCTCATGCACCTCGGTCACCTTCTTCACAAAGACATCCTGAGGGTACAAGCTCATGCTATGTTCCTACGCTGAGATAGGCAAAGGATATCCAGAACCTCCTTCTCGATACAAGACAAGAATACGTTCAACTGTACCTTTAGGATCTCTTCAGTTATTTCGATCAATCCAGGTCAGGGGATTAAAACATGTGAGTCATTTGACTATGTATCTGCTTGGACACTGGTTTTTTGTGATGACCTGTTATGGTAATTATGGTAATTGTCTTCTCAAAAGGGCTATAATCTCAAACTAACCTGGTTTTTTTAACCCCAGTCCGAATTGTAACCACACTTCTCATAAAGGGCTTGGATACGGTCTCGTGTGTTAATGTTCTTGTACTCTTTGACCAAATCCTCTGGGACCAAGTAAGAACCATCCGCTCGTGGTAGGAAGACTCTCCTCAACCGGGCTTTGACCGCGTTGTCAGAGAGTTGGGGCGGTGGCTCAGGTGCCTTGAGGAGCTCAGATTCATCCCCGCTGTCCCCTGCAGCATGGCCGGGTGAGTCTGGAAACTCAAAACGTGGCTGGGATGGAGGAATGTCAGCAACCACCACAGGTACCATAGCAACTGGCACCATGGGCCCAAACTCATCTTGCTTGGCTGCCTCCTCAAACCGTTCCCCCAAATCACTAGGAGAAGGACATATTGATTCGGGTCCACCACCAGAATTAGGAACCCCGGGCGTCACCAGCTCTGGTGTCTCCTGTCGAAGAGTAGCTGGAACCTGCATCAAGAGTCAAGTCACCAACGGAAGGCAACCCAGGGCATGTTCTAACCTGACACATGTACTTGTGTTGGTGCAAGTATTTTCCATTTCACAATAATCAGCAATGACATAGAATCATCATACAATCCCGTTTTGTTAAAACAAAGGGGTATCTGGTCATCCCCTCATGTATTGTCACCCATTGAACTCCTCCACAAAAAACAGAACCTATAGAATAAATAGGAGAACAGTCCCCCGAAACAAAAACAAATACCTTGACTTGTATCATTGTACCATGACGTTGTTACTTTTAAAAGTGGCAGCTTGATGCAGTTTTAACATTGAGGGTTGTTCTTCAAAATCATTTCTCCAAAAAAAAAGGGATTACTCAATGCTTGGATCATCGGCTGATGTAACCCAGGGCACCCCACATCGCCCCACCTCTGGCTCAGGAGTGGCCACTCGCCGATGACTGGCTCCAGGACTCTCGGGTGGGTTTGCGGTCTCTTGGCGGTCAGGCGGTGGCCAAGTCCGGTATGGGTAAGAGGATGCATCCCCCGGTTGCGAATCATCTGGAACTTCTATAACATCCTTCTGGTCAGCACTAGGCTTTGGGGCATCCATAGGCACTACAACACTTTCTGGTGGAGTCTTGGATTCTGTCATGGTTTTGGAGTCCTCGGATTCCGGGGGCACTGCTGTCGGAGTTGCCAGCTTCTTCTGCAATGCCTGCAAAGTGCTCGAAATGTGAGGGTGTTGGGGTGTGTGGTTGATGTTCTTAATCTTTGGATCAAATTCCATAGTTAAGGAAAACAATGGAGGTTCCCAACATTAGCCTAGCTACCAAAAGTCGTTGACGTTCAGCTACCATTTCCTGGTACACCTCATCGCCTTCGAAAGACATGCTGTCTTGTTGAAGCACAGCTGCTCCACGGACCAGTGTTCCACTGGAATGGCACCGGCTTGGGAGTTCACGAAGCATGTCTTGAGCACTGTGGATGAAAATGGGCGGAAACAAACACACTTGGAATTCTCAAAAAATGGTTAAAATAGGAGTACGGGCAAAAACGGCGCAATTACGGCGAAAAACGGCGCAATGACGGGTAAAAACGGCGCATTCAGAAAATTCAAAAATCAGAAAAACTGGGAAAATTTGGAAAGGTTGTGCAAAACCTGGAGATTTTGGCTGAGGCTTGCTTAAGTCTTTTCACATTTCTTCAACTCAGAACTTATGTTGCATTGCTGCTCGTATATTCAAACAGCCACATCCAAATTTGGATTTTAAATTGAATTTGGCAACACCGAGCGCCATTGTTCTGGAATTTCCAGCAATTGGCTCCCACGCGTGTAGTAAATGCAGTCCCTAAGGGATGCGTCATCCCACATGTCATCGTAGGAGAGGCTTGCAAACAGCTCGACCAATGGTGTCTTGTCATCAACCTTAGGCTTGAAAACTTCAATTGGAAATAGCAGGCATTTGTGACAAAAAAGACATATATAATGTTATACCAGTATACCAGTCCCCACATCCCAGTCCCAGCACTGCCCCGCACTGACGATTAGCAACTGCAGGACATTTGGGTGCAGCTGCGAGGAGTGTTGGCCGAAGGCGCAAAATGGTCGAAGCAAAACGCGGTGTGTAGTCCCTAAGCTTGGCGGGTCACGGGCCCATTAGCAATGAAGGGGCTTTAGATTATTTGGCTAACTCCTAGCAAGAAGACATAAAGAAACCAAAAATTGCCGTCTTTGTTTACAACAAAGGGTCTGGGTCCCCTTCAGTTTACTGGATCCTTTCCATCGTTGCTTACCAGAACCATCCACATAGCGAACTGCTGTCTCATATTCCTTTTTGAAAGACTTACGATTCAGCTTACCACGGTTGAAATGGCAAATTGGCCAGCAAGTCGACCATAAAGTGCTTCTTTTGCTGGTTGCATGCTTGAAGTGAGCCATCCAAAAGGTGGTTCGGTAGACCTCAATTGTTTTTTGGGTCTGCTCCAACATTGCAATAGACGGTTCCAGACGGGGGATACCAAACGAAATTGGAAAAGAAAACCAAGCCCAAATAACAAATCTAGTTGCGGGAATACCAAATTTTCGCAGTAGCTGGAACAGCCATTGAAACCTGTCATGGTAGTTCATGATGCTCGAGGATGGCTGCTCTAGTATAGGGACAGCACCCATGCAAATCAGAAGTAGCCAAAGTAATACGGCCCTCCCAGGGTTCAGGCCTGATGTGGGATACATTTACCTTTAGTCATGTATGGGTACCCAACCGACAAACCCAAAAATTCCATAATGTTGGGAACGGGCATCTTGTTAGTTGTATATTACTATATATATATTAAGATATAAATTAAATATTACGAATATATTTGATATATATAATATATATATGTTTTAAAATGTTTAAAACATGTTTGTGAATAACCCTTTTTTGGAGGAGACGTCCTGCTGACCATCTGGTTGCCGCTGGCAACGCTCGGGTAATCTTGTTGACCCATTGGGGTCAACAAGTCACGGCAACTAGTGCCTGTATTCACCACGGTCCACGTGCTGCACAAGATTCCCATCATGCAGATTAAGTCGCCGAACCTTCCCCGCAAAATAGTGATGATGCACAGCCTCACGCTGCATGGTTCAGTATCGTTCAAATTTTGGGGGGCTATAGCTTTTAATAGCAAGTGGAAATTAGGGCCAAAACAAAAACACAATATCAGCATAATTATTGTGAAATGATATCCGAGAAACAAAAATCCTGCTGGCTCATTGATGTCCATGCAAGACTTGGTGGGGAGAACGCCTTTCGTCTTTTTCGGGGTGAAGTTCTTGTCATACATGATGTCATGCGCACAGGTGACCAACCCAATCGATTTTGCTAGTTTGGAAATCCGTTTTTTCCCTGCAAACAGCTCAATGACCTGATATCCCGATTGGATATCACAATCCTCTGGCAGCCGGATCCAAGATGCAAGTAGTATGAGGAGTATCCATACCTGAGCACCGGTAAACACAGGTTGATAAACTGTATAGTTGAAAACTCATCAAATCATTTTTTCTTTAAGGGGATGAATTCACCCAGTTAAAAGCTATGAGGCCCATGTTCGCCAACCCCTTTTATTGAACACATTATTTGTGGTAAGCCTCCATCAAAAAACCCTGCATGATAATTATCATAACATGTCTCCCTTGGATAAGAAATCCAAAATATCCATGACAATGTAGACAAACAATATTAAGCCCTACTAGCTGTGACGAACTGACATGCAAGACCCAGAACATACAATGTGGTCAAGTAGCTTTGGGTGCACCCAAAGCAATCAATCGACGGATGCAAGTTTCTAGTTCCGTGGGGCTCATGGCGGACAAAGAATTTCAGACCCCGTGCTGCCAGCCAAATCTTGCTGAAGACCATTGGGTCCCAAACATGGGTAAAAGTATCACAGGTGCACCCCTGGTTCCTCGGGCATTAAACCTGCCGGCTGCACAGGCATCACTTGACCCTGAACCACACTTCGAAGCCAGCCCATATCGGGCATATGCAGCAACGAAAGGCATGGTGGTGGTACCTGCGGTGGGGGAAGGATCCTGGGCAAACACTAACCATGAGAGTGTTCGAGTAATCAACATCGAACTCATGCAGAGTTCCTTGTTTTTTTCCAAATCGGACCCTTCCGCATGATGGAACAAGTCGGTGACAAAGCAAATCACCCATAGCAATCAGCACGGCCGAGGTTGAGCATCCAGGTCTTGATTGAAACATGGAATGAGTTTTGGTGTAAATAATCTAGACCCAATATCAACACCATTGATTCAAAACAGGCTACGCCTCAACTCAACCCACTCCCCTACCAGCGTTGACTGGGTGAATAGGCTCATCCTAACAACTCTAAAGCTCCATGTTCTATCAACAGTCCTGCATCATTGCAGTTTCCCAAAAGTTGAATCAGTCACACCCCATCAGTGTCATCAGTCGGTTTCCTCAGGGCTCACCTTACCTAGGCAGCAGACAGAGGAAGCTTTACCTATCTGTTTGAAAAATTCGAATGCTAATGTTTTGACAATTTGGTGAAACATATTTGGTTTCCAAATCGTGTAAGTTACGTTTCTGGACAACTTCAGGCTCTTCGAGGAACGCATTCGCCCACACAAGCGCAGTAGCTGCCAACTGACCAATTGGCATGTCAACATTCCATCGTTCAAGGCAGAATTTCCAGAACGGGTCCTACGATGGATTGTCCAACCAGTGATGAACAAATACTTGAACAAATGAATAAAATGAACGGTCAGTGAATAAAGACACATGAAACAAGGGTGTCCTCGAGCTTGGATGGTGTCTTCACCTTTTCCTGGACTTCGCTCTCGAAAGCTGCGCGCAACGCGTTGTGAAAGCTAAGTGAGGGTTCGACCTTGGGTGGCCATCGCCTAGCAAACGTAGCTTTGACTGCAGGGGTGTTGGAATTTTCTTTGGCATGTGTTGTTTTGCTGCGCTTGCTGGTGCTGGGTGAAGTCTTCGGCTTGATGCTGGTTGCCTCAGCTTCTGCCTCTGCCTTTCGCTTTCTTCCAGTTGTTTTGGGAATTGCTTCTGATGTTGCCGCTTCCTGTGACTTCGGGGTAACCTGTGCCTTTCGACCAGGCTTTGCCTTTGCCTTTGCCTTTCCTTTAGGGGCCTTGGGATCCTTCACCTCGCGTGTGCTCTTTCCGGTTTTTGGAACACCTTTCTGCCTAGTAGAAGCGGCTGGTCTCTTCATCTTTTGTCCCTTGGGGGTTTTGCCTCTACGCTTTCGCTGTTTCTTTCCTTCATCACCTGGTTCATCTTCCTCTTCGGGCGGGTGTTTCTGTTGGAGAGCAGCCGCAACAGCAAGTTGATCTTTCCTCGTGAGAGTGACCTGGCAAGGAAAGAATAGGAGAGCTTGGCAGGAATTCTAAACGCACTTGGGAAGCCTCCTTGCAACAATATTATATGGTGCCTAGGTATAGTTTGTAAAGTTTGTAAAATGTATTTGGAAAATACAGTTGGAAGCAAAGTCATAACTGTGAATGTTGTTGATACCGGTGTGAAGCAGGATCTAGTGCCACCCTGTGCTACTGTTGGAACCCTGCCTCCTGATCCAAATCATCGTCCTCCAGCTTGTCCACAACAACCTCAGGTTGTGGGGCTGGTGTTGCTTGGGCCTCTTTGGGGTCTTTGTCTGATGTTCCTGCAGCCTGGGCGGGAACCTGTGGCTCATCCTTGCCCCCTTGCACAGGAGCAGGAGGCTCGTGTGGATCACTCTGACGAGGCGATTGGGCTGCAGCTTGGTACTCTTCACAAACTTGGGTGGCATTGAAAGGCAGAGTCTCCACATGATCCGAAGCGGTACTTTACGAGAAACCAGAAATTGAAAGCCACTGAAACATAATCTAAAATGGCAATCGCCTAACTGTGGTTTTCAAAACTTTAGGGCGAGCAAGTGCTTGAGACCAGAAACCGTCCCAGGATTTACTCACGCGTACGCCAAGAAGAGATACCCGTCTCTCAGCCATCTGTTGCCTAAGCAGGGCAACACTAGCACTACTGCCTGTAAACACACAGACAGAGAGGAATCAACAATCTGAACAAATTTTTTGGGACATATCAGGGCAACACTAGGACCACTACTGCCTGTAAACACACACACACAGTGGACCCACAAATCTAAACAAATTTATGGGGACATATCATATCAAATGACTATTCATCCGAAAAACTCTAGGATGCGAAGCCGTTCAGAAACCTCAGCCTCTGTCTTGGGTTCGTGGGCAGGCTTCTGAAGCTCTTTGGTGGACGGACTCTGTGGCACAGGACTGGATGGACGGGGGGTTCCACCCAAGACTTTGGCCAACTTCTCTTCCAACAAAATGTCAGTCTCATCATTTGGGCTGGATTGACTCTCGGACTGACCTTCCTCTTCCCAGGACATCACCTCCTCATTGCATTCACCATTGTCATCATCAGCATTTCCAGCATCATCATCATCCCTATCATTTGTGGAATCAGCCTGTTCCTGATGATCCCCAGGGCCATCCACAACTTGTCCCGACCGGTTCCTGGCGGTGAAGTATTGGGCAATGACCCCCACCAATCGTCGGAAGGTAGAATCCTTAAAGGGCCACAGCCGGGAGTGTGATCCATTTTGAATTTCAACACTTGATGCGATGCATTAGGTAGACATGACTTCACAACTCCAAGTAGTAGTAACAAGACAAGAAAAGGAATTCATGTAATGCTGGAGAGTTTCACGTTTGCGGGTGCCATCATGCATTCGAATCAGTCTGCTGACAAAGCTTTTGATTGCATGCGACTCGCAGTGGGTCAGGCCAATGTTCTCCGTAAGTTCCAGGGACTCCCGCAACTCGATGATCTGCAATTACAAGTCATTACAAAAGATCCCCCAAAAAGAAAGTTTTTGAACATCGCATAATTGTTGCAATGATTGTTGCACCCTGCCTGTTTTTTCAAGAAGTTCACGGGAACAGTTTTCCGATCTGGGGCCACCGGGCACCACTTCCGCAAAACGATCTCCAGGACAGGGGCATTCATCTTCAGAGACTTGTTGGAGACAACTCCAACCTTTTGAGGACTGAGCCAGGAAAGGAGGGCTTTGTTTTTCAGGCAGTATTTGCGAATGGCAGCTACATCCTCCAAATCGTCTGCCAACCCTTGAAGCGGATTGGGTGTGGTGCTGGAATTTTCATGTTCCTCTATCGGGTGGGCCTCATCCGCCATGACTTGACAAAATGCCAAGAGTTATACACAACCAACTTGAAGCCAAAACAGCTAGATTTCATGTAGCAGTGTGCGGACAAGCTGATGAGCCCAGCTGACTTCCATCGCAGTAGTGAAGTGTGGCAATTGGAAGTAATAGCTTCCAGCTAGGGAGTGGGTGGGCCGGGCACCTGATAGCCGAAGATGATTGCCTTTTAGTAGAAGGCCACCTCCGCGGGCGTTTTTGCAGGGACAACAACCATGCATGAACATAATTGGTAATAGGCTGCTTTAAAGTCATGAAATCTTTAGCCTACAGCATCCTATTTCCATGACAATACCACAGCAACAAAACAACCCCAGATTCCCGCCTCACGTGCAGGAGGCTTGCCTTTTCCACTTCAATTTCGGCTGCCTGTGGGAGCCCCAGAGATACCTACATGTAGGGATTCTCATCGAATAAAACTAAAACAGATGGGGAATCACTTTGTAGAATCCGGCCTGCATGGAAAAAGAAGGGCTGGTGTTGATGCCGGCTATACCTGCTTGGCCACTGAGCATTCTTTATTTGATGGAGCTAAATGAAAACCAGTAGAACAGAAAACCTAAAGCCGAACATGAGTGCGGGTCACATCCTGAAGAGTGTTAGCGGACCCCATCCATCACCTGCGCGAAGCATGTCACTAGGGCAGTGGAAGATATTTATATATAAAGTATACAAACTTTAACAGGAAACACCGCCCAACCAAATCATGCATTCCAGTTTTTCTCCTATGTTCAAATTGTCTTTCTCCAGCGCTGATCCAGCTCTGTGCCGGATTCTAAGGCATTCGTGCCGCTGTCAGCTCATCTTCTCAGATTGGTTCTCCATTTGGCCTCGTAGAAAAAGCAGGGGGAACTTGTGACATCGGGATGCAGGGTTGGTCAGTTGAAGGCACCTGAAATATCATATTATACTGGTTGGTGGTTTCAACTATATTTTATTTTCCATAATATATATGGGATAATCCTTCCCATTGACTAATATTTTCCAGATGGTTAACCAGCATAGTTAACTACATATCATATTATATGCTTTTTATATATATATATATGATGACCTAAAAATCCCCAAACATGTGCGGCCAAAAGGCTGCTCAGTTCTCCAACATGTTTTTCCCAGTTGACAAAAAACTTGGCAAGTTCCGCCGCTGCACCACCAGCTTTATAGTTCGAAACGATCTCATTGGCTTTTTCCACCGGCAGCACTTCCTAAGGAACAAATGTGATAGACTTGCTTCTTTTACCATGTGTGCGCGTGAGCGTGTGCCAAAAGCATGAATGATATGCCTAGATTCAACTGGGGGGACCGCGGGCCACAAAGCTTTTTGAACTTCACGAAACCACTTCGGCGGCATGCCTTCCAAACCTGTGGCAACGAAGCCAAAATTATTTACATTTGATATCGTTGGATTAAATCACTTTACTTCGTGTGATCCCCACCATGACATTTATACATTTTGTTACTGGCAAATCTTCTGGCATTCTGTCTGACATATCTTCTGGCATTCTATCTGGCATATCTTCTGGCATATTATCCACTCAAATCTTCTGGCATTCTATCTGGCAAACATTCTGGCACTTTATCTGTCATATCTTCTGGCATTCTATCTGACATTTTATCTGGCATTCTATCTGGCATACCTTCTGGCATTCTATCTGGCATATCTTCTAACATTCTATCTGGCATATCTCCTGGCACTCTATCTGGCATATCTGATAGCATTTTATCTGGCATATCTTCTCGCATTCTATCTGACATTCTATCTGGCATATCTTCTGGCATTCTATCTGGCTTTTGAGGTCCAGCGGTGCACACTGAGCTCGGAAGGCCCCAGGTTGAGGTCCAGCGGTGCGCACTGAGCTCGGGTCCCAGATTGAGGTCCAGCGGTGCGCACTGAGCTAGGAAGGTCCCAGGTTGAGGTCCAGCAATGCGCACTGAGCTGGGAAGGTCCCAGGTTGAGGTCCAGCAGTGCGCACTGAGCTCCGAAGTTGGCGAAGAGCTTGGCCAAGAGTTGACAAGGCAACAGTGGACGTGGAAGTGGAGGCAGAGGTGGTAGAAGAGGAGGAGGACGCGGAGGAGGACGAGGAGAAGGAGGAGGAGGACGAGGAGGAGGAGGATGAGGAGAACAGCTCTGATAAAATCTAACAACCCTCACTTGGCAGGTGGGGAAAAAAGGCTCAACAACATCAAACAGATGCTTCCAATCCCGGCCTCCAGCCTTCAAAATCTCTTGGACCCCAGGAGCAAACTCTATCAAATACACCGGGTCAAAAATTTCTTGAGCTAAAATGCTTTGAGAAGATTTGGTTGAAAGAAGTGGCAAAGAAGCAAATTGCTTTGAACTGCAGGTTTGACTTGCCCATCGATAATGCACATTATAGTGCACAGGGGGGGTGGCACCTTCACAGCGAAGTCCATCAGTGGCGATTCAGCTTCTTTGGCCACTGAGCCACACTTTTCCGGATATGGGAAGTCTCTAGCAAGCAAACAATGGGAAAAGACAAAACGATGCCACTTATGCCAAGAACGGCGCATGCCAAAAATTTCAGCGGCAAACGCATAAAACACTGTTTCGCTAGAGGAGCATCAAAATTTTGATGCCACACGAGTCTCTAGGTATGCCTCCACCCCGGGGTCCCCAAAGTTAAACAAGAACCCTTCGCTACTCGTTCGGGAAGCATAGAAAAGTGTTTTTTATGATGGTTTATGACTATTTTGGTGGGAATTTATGTTCCTATCTTGTTGGGGGTTACTATATTCTTTGATTGGGATATCCCATGATATTACGCAAAATTGTCCCACGCTTCACCATTTTGTTTGAGCCTCCTTCGTAATCTTGAGCTGGAACCCTAACACCATCAAGTATCAAAGAAGGTTGCATCTCAACTGGGTCCATGTTCAACCCTAAGCCTAGCATTCAAATCTTTGTTCCTACCCATTTCAACCATTTTTTAGTATTCCGCAAAGATTGCTCAGTTTTTTCCAGAGCTGGATCCTAGGCAAGCCATATCAAGCCATCTCTTGCCCATGGTTTTCCAAGCATTTCACCATGGGTTTTACACCACCCCCGCAGCCCGGTGGTGCAGGCATCCGGTCACTTGAAGTCATGGTCTCCGGCCCAAGCTCACGGAGACCCAAACAAATCCTGAGGCAACGAACTCCTGGGAACCCATATACCGACCATCCATGGTCATCCATGGCTTGAATTTTGTACCAAGAAAAATGACGGATTTCACCAACACAAATGCTGCTTTCATGGAATATGAATGCGGAAATGCGATACTTTCAACCATGTCCAATTTGGGTGTGCCTAAAAATGGTTTAGACCCATCATGGCCATCAAATAATGGGGATGATGATAATAATTTATACAGAAATAGCATTAGAACTGGGGGTACCGATTTTCAGACAAAACCCATGTTTCCATGTGGAGGTTTCTTAAACTGGGGGATCCCAAAGTTACCATGGGATTCAATACTCAAATATGCTCTGACTTGGATGATTTGGGTACCATGACGTGGGAAACCTCCATGGATTTCCGTACAATCAACGGCACTTTTCAATCACCAAGATGCTTTTCGACATCGCTGGCCTCCACCCCAGCGGAAATCGCTTGCGTCAGAACTCCACCTGGGTCGTTCGCCACTTCATCTTACGGCGACCATGGGGCTGGGAGCCCAAGATGCTGGATTTTATGGGGTTAGTAGTGGCTTCACCATGTGCATGTTTTAGAAAAAATAGAAACATAACATAAAATAAGATCAAGGCTTTCAACGATTGATGTCATGCACTCTCCGCAATCCTCCAACATGCAAAGCATAGTCAGAGCAGCGGTGCTGAACAAAATCCTCACAACACCGCTCGAGAGCCCAGCCATCTGCTGAGATGAGACGCGTTTGGTCACGGGAAAATCAGGGTTACAGCAGTGTTGCCTTTGATCACCCATCTACCAAGGGTATGTTTTGTTTTTCTTTTTTTCTGCTGATCAACGATTTTTAAGCCTAAATTAATATCTTCCCCCAACTATATACTGCAGTTGGGGTTAGTTTTATTGGTCCATGGAGATCACCACCATAAATTGAGACATGGGGCCTCATAACTATATATATATTATATATATTATATTAAATGTATATTATATATATATTATATTATATGTATATATATACATATATATTGTATATTATATATCTTTCAGAAAATATGCACAGCAAACAGCACACTCAACTATTTTACCCTTGAGCCAAAACATACGTACAACACAGTGGTTGTGTGACAATTATGTGGAGGTGTAAATTTCAACACCCCTCCTTCAACGCAGGTGCTAGCTTCGCTACACCTTTGTTGATTCTAACTTCTTTGCTCCAACGGCTTTCCCTAGACGATACTCCTGACACATGCTCTTCATGTGTCTCTCACAAGTTTCGCGTCCTATGGGTTTCGTACATAGATCGGCTAGATTGTTCTTCGTACCGATCGGGCAGATCCGCAGATGGTTCTCAGCCACACGTTCCTGGATCCATAGATAACGGGTCTGGACGTGTCTTAGCTTTCCAAGACCTCGTCTGCTCGCTGTACCGCGTGCAGCGCTGCTGTCGCTGTAGATCTCTAATGCCCTTTCGGCTCCCCAATCTTGCATGAGCGCTTTGATGCTCAAACCAATTGCGGATGCTCGTACGAGTGCATAAAACTCGCTTTCTCCCGAGCTCAGAGCAATGGTCGATTGGAGATTCGATCCATGTTTGATGCAATGTTGTCCCATCATGACAACAAATCCTGTTGTGCTTTTCCTCGTCAACAAACAACCCGCATGATCGCTGTCAGTGTAGACTTTAATCACCTTGGGTGTCCTCTGAGGTTCGTAGGTGCACACGACCCTTGGTTTTCCGACCAGGTATCTACCCAATCGTTTCAAGTCCTTGACGTCTGCATCATTTGGTGCTTTCATCTTTCTCGTCAGTGATTTCACTGTTTCTGCTATGTCCGCACGGTCTTGTGCTAAGAACTGTGCTCTCATCACTAGACTTCTGTATAGTGTGGTCTGTTCTGCTGTCACCGGTGGAAGACCTACCGATGCCAGCACTTCACTGCTCTTTTTCTTCTCTGACGGTGTCACCACACTTTTCGCATTTTCCAAGTTCAATTGTCTGATGATCATTTCTGCGTGTCTTGGATCGGCTTCGTATGTCACTTTTCCTGTTTCGTGGTCATAGGTCACAATTCGGTTCAAGACTGTCAGATGTGTTCCTCCACCTTTTCCAATGAGTCCGTCACATCTGAACTCGTATCTCTCCTGCAAAACCTTTTGCATGTATTCTTGTCTTGCCTTGTCACTCAGGACTAAAAAGTCATCTCCATGTACTAGCAGCTTGATGTTCTTCTCTTTGTGCCAGAACACGGATGTCCAAGCTTTTCCACATTCGAAATTGTGTTTCTTCAACAACTCGCTGTAGTCTGACTGCCAGACATGGCTGGCGTCCTGTGTCCCATACATAGTGCGCTGCAGTAATGCGCACATTCCTTCTTCCTCGTCACCTTGTGGCAATGTGACGTATACCGTTCTTTGTGCCTTTCCATAGAAATGTGCACGTGATATGTCGTAAAGTGCCAGCTGCTCGTTACTGCCACTTGTGGCTAACATCGAGCATAGTAGCTTTACCGCCTCCAATGGCGGCATGTTCGAAAACAGCTGGTGTCCTGGAAGTGAACCATGTTTCTTCTTCACTTCCCGGACCACTAAACGTGAACGGTAGTTCTTCTTCGTTGAATCGCCTTAGTTGCGATCAATCCATTTCAACGTGATGGGTGCTTTTCCTGTAACTGCCCAACATCCGCTTATTGGTCGCTTGACGTAGACTTCCTGTTTCTTCACCCAAGCAAGTTCTTCTTGTCTCGCTTTCAGTACCTCCTCTGTTTCCAACTGAACTCCTGTGATCTCATCAAAGAAGATCTGTTCGTCGCCTTTGTTTTCAAACTTCGGCACGTACTCATCTTCGTAGTCCTCAAGATGTGGATCGTCATCCGGGCTTGGTCCTGCATCTAATGCATTCACTTCTCGGTATTCACCGTCTGCTTTCATTTGTTGCTTGATGGCCTTTAGTATTCCTTTCACCAGTTCTGGTGGGTATACCCGTGCCATTTTGGCACGTCCATTGACGAGATGGACATGTCTATGCCATTCTCCAGTTCCTTCATCGTTCGAGCAAACGCCCGACAGAATCTTAGCCAACTCCGGGCTATTTGTAATCCATCTGGTGTTTTTCCTGACATAAGATTAACCACTGGCGTCTCTAGCCACCATTTTCCATCTGCACATTGGTCCGTCAATTGTGAATGTCCCGGGTAGGTTCTGAACTTCCTTGACACATTCTTCATTCCAACTGGCTGCTGGTTTTGGATGTTCGTGTAGGAAGTACCTACCCCTCCTTGACTGTTGCTTGTAGTACTCGCATGCTTGCTTTAGCATCCTTCTGCCTTCTTCCAGCCTTTGTTGTCGAACAGCTGGATCAACTCTCCCTGTGTTTAGAGCTTGAAGCGGTGAGAACGCTTCACACGGCGGACTTCCAGTTACCAGGTATGGATCCTCCTCATCCAAGATCCTCTCCAGACTCTTCACATGATCTGGATTCAACAAGTTCCATCCAGTCTCCAAATCAACTGCGTATCCTGGCAGTAGTCCATAATTCCTGCACTTCTCTGTCAATCTGGGCGGTGAAAAGATTTCACTCACATCATGTGCTCCAAGAGATTTCAAATCTTGCAATGAAACTTCCCAATCTTCGTCGGGTTCAATGCTAAAGTGAAACAACGACTGGACATCTCTAACGTGACTTGGCGATGTAACTGGTGACCAAAATTGATCATGACTCATGTCTGCACCTGGGGCTGCGGATCCTGAAGCAGTCCCACTGGCTGAAACAGCCGGAGCGACCGCTTGTCCCTCGGAAGTTCCACTGGTTGAAACAACCAACGGCCCCTCCTGCTCCTGAGCCTCGTAGTACAGATCATCGATGTTATCTGGTATCCGTTTTCCTGACCTCAAGGTATCTGACCTTGTTCTCTTCTCACCTTCAACTCTTCCTCCGTCTGATCTTGTCCTTTTCGGTGATGTTGGTTGTTCAGGTTCTTCAGGTTGTCCAAGTGCTACTGATGATCTCACTTCACCTTCAGTGGGATCCGGCATTCCTGTGATCACTTGTTTTGCCTTTTTCTTTTCGGTACCTTCCTCTTTCCTTTTCTCGACGTCTGCTAGACGTTTCCTTCCTTCTTCCGTTTGTAGCAACCTCTGTTCTAACCTGTATCTGCATGTTGCATTATGTGCAACTGCTGGCAATCCAACCATGATTGCCTCACAACCTCTGCAACCTGGTGTGTAGTCCATTGTACCGTCTTCCTTTTCCAAGTCCTTCTTTCGGACGTACAGATTCCTGGGACCTCCATCCCGTACACTCGGGGTCAATCTCTGTGTTGTCTCAGGCAACGTGATGTGTAACCTGTGTTCCACATCTTCGGCACTCCTTGGGCGAAGCGCCCAGGGCGTACCTTTCAATTCTTTGAGTTCCGTTCGGTCCCATCTCTCCGATTCTGGTTTCCTGTGGACGGTATTGCCTCTAATCACACCTTGACTTGTCATCACCAACACATCGGCGTTCCTGCCGTGCGTTCCAACGTAGTGGCCACTCATGACCCTACTTGCTAGATCTCCTTTCTTTCTTTCGGATTCACCTTCCTTGGAAACCCTGTAGGAATCCAACGGTCTAAAATAGACCTTTTCGCCAAACGTCACCATAGGTCTGTTCCATTTTCTTCCAGTCAATCTTTGGTATGGGGTTTTCCCATCATCTTGAATACTGAATCTACTCAGGCAAAATGCCGCGTGTCTACTTAGCCATGTGAGTAATGGATGCGTATCTTCCAACTTTCCAAAGTGTTCCTCAAGTTCACTCAAAAGTGCTCTTGACTGTCGCTTCTCGTCCCTGATTGCGACTTCGACTGCACCATTGGCACTGTGGTCCCCAGTAGGTGCTTCTTGCAGGATTATCTCAATTCCTGCTGCTTTAGATTTCACTTCTCGTTTCAGAGCGACGATTGCTGGTTCTCCGTCACTCTTCAGAATCAACCTGTTGTACCCTGTTTCGTTCAAACAAGCCAACATGAAGTTGACTGAAAACAGGTCTGGTCCTTTCGTGGGTATTGTAGTCGCCCACGTCATCTTTGACTTGCTGTCTTTTACCTGCAAGTTCGTTGATTCTCCATCCTTCTCACCATAGTAGAAGTAGTCTGATACAACTGGGATTTCACTGTCCTCATCCCGTGAAACTGAGCTGTGCTTTGCGTACGTTGCACGAGCTCTCATGCAATGGCCACACCACGATCTGTGTACTGCGTGGGCTGTGGCAAGATGTTCCTCTAATTCCTGGGCTGTTGGATCGCTGATTTTTCTTGCGACCTTTGGCCTCTGTACCTCGACAGCTTCTGCCGGGTCCTCTGCTGAAACAGCAGGGGCCCCAGCTTCCGCTGGCGACTCTTCCATTCTCTCTTCTTCTTCTAACGGACTTACGGACAACCCTGCCGTCAGTTTCCCGACTTCCTTTCCAACTTCTGCTTTGTGGTGTCTTCGTCAACCCAGTAGTCAAACACGTAGACACCCCTTTCAATTCGCAACTTGGTGGATTTCCCACCTTCTTCTTTCAACACTTGGTCTACAAACTTTTGGATTCTCTTTGCTGCATTCGACCCAGCTGGAACTATGTTACCACCCTGGTTGTCCAATATTACCATATTCCTCTTACACACTTCCGACCCACTAGCCAAGATGCGGTGTACATCGGTCTCCCTCGCATTCAAGCTCTTGTCCGTGTAGTTGGCGTCACTGCCATACAACTGTACTTGGCCATGGTCAGAAAGTAGTTCACCTGAGGCTGTTTTGTAGCGGGTGGACTGCTTTTCACCGAATGCGTACTTTCCAAACTCTTTCTACGTACGGTTGAAACCGCTGCTCCAGTGTCAAAATTGACAACCACATGCTTGTACAAACCCTGGAGTTCTGGTTCAAACTCGTTCGAATCGAAAGAGTTCAAATCCGCCCAACTCATGATTCCATGGGTTTCATCAGCGTCCCCTGGATTTGCTGCTCTACGTTCAGCATTGGTCATCCTAACATCATCCATCTCATCTTCAGCCCTAGTGGTTACTACATCATCATCATCATCTGCATCAACCCTTGCAGCACTTGACGCAGCTCGGCCGGATTTCCTTTTTCCTCTCTTTGCCTTGCCCTTTCCGCGACCTTTGTCGCCTTTGCCTTCGTTTTCGAAGAGTCCCGGATTTCGCCATGGTGCGTTCATGTACATCTGATCCTCAGTGCGATTCTCGAACTCCCGAAGTCCTTTGATCTCTGTGGTCACACTAAGTTCTCTCTCTTCTTCGGGATCATCCATGTTATCTTCATGAGGTCTTTCTGGCATTGCCTCATCTTCTACTTCAGTCTTCACCTCTTCTTCCTTTGGCTTCTCACCTCTTCGTTTCTTTGGTGCTGGTGGTGGTCGCATTTCAAGCTGAGAAATGAGCTGTTTCGTCTTCTTCTCCATACGTACCAATTCCATCTCCTTGTCGTCGTGGAGCAACTTGCATTTCGATCCATACCTGCACGAACCGTGCAAGAAGAATCTGCAATGTTGGTTCTTCAATCCATCGATGACAGCCTGGTCATGAGAGAACGGGCATGGATCCCTTTTGCATTCTCCTTCCCATGCCAACGCTCGACAGGCTGTGGTACGCTGTCTCCTTTCCTTTCTCTTTCTGTTCCTCTTCTGCTTCTTCGCAACTGTCTTTCCTTTGGTCTTCTTCTTGGTTCTCATCTCGGTTCGACCTTTCTCCATCACTTTTCGTTCGTCATCCCTTGCCTCTTGTCGGAATGACTCAAACTCTTCCTTGGTGAGGGGTCTGAACACCTTCTTTTCCTTATAGGATCCCATTCTTGACATTCCACTGGAAACCTTCATTGAACTTCCTGGTTCCTCACCTTCCTTGATCACTTCAGTCTCCATGCCTTGGTACCCGATCTGTTCTGTGTCTGCTGGTACCTTTTCCTCCTCTTTCAGTGCTCTGGTCCTATACTCCTTGATCCATTTGGCATGTAGTTCCCTTCGAACTTCAGCTCTTTCACCCACACCTTGCTGTCGGTGGATGATAGCTCGGCGTCGTGCTTTCTCCTTACGCCATGCTTCGTTGTGCGGAACTCCTGCTGCGATAGCCCTGAAGTAGCGCGCATCATGCCATTGCTGATCCGTCAGGTTCTCTTTGGTCAGCATCTTCACAGGGTTTTCTCTGGTACTCTTATCCTGTTTTGAGATGTAGTTGCGTAACTGCTTCAACTCCTCTTCAATTTCTGTGATGCGTTTCTCATGTCTTTGAACTTCTTCATCATCTTCAGCATTTTCGATCATTTCGACCAACTTACGCTTCTCATAGTGCAATCGGCCAACTTGAAGTCCTTCAATGGTACGGTGCATGAGAACGCCAGTCATCGGGGTCACAACTCTGCCTGAATCAGGCAGGGTCGTTTCCTTTGTGGCTGGTTTCTCATCATCTTCTGATTCCATTTCATTCTCATCCTTCTCCGGCGATTTTGCCAACTTCTCCAACTCCAATCGCCTCTGGACTTCATTGTCGTCCTTTTCAGCTGTGAGGAATTCCTTGGCTTCGTTCAGAATCTTCCTGATGTTCTCTCTTTCCTGATCCATGTCGTACTCTTTCATTTCGTCAAGGTATCCTTCCATCACAGCCTCGACATCCTCGTCATCTTCAGCTTCATACCCTGGATCTTCATCAGGCTCTTCTGGTTCTTTGGTCTCAGCCTCGGCTTCATCTTCGACTTCATCTTCAGCTTCAGAATCTGTGGTATCATCCACAGTATCTTCATCTTCTTCTCGGATCTCCGGCGCTGCCTGGCCAGTTTCAGCCGACCCAACTCCGTGGGCAGACCTCCTTGCAGCATAGTCCATTGCTGCACTTGTAGATGGCCCTGCACGATCATCACATGAACTGCAGGCATCTTCGAGTCCTTCTCGGCGGAACACCATCTGAGCCATCGACTGGGCAACCGATCCACGATATTTGCTTGCAGCTTCAAGTGATGCCGCAAGTCTTTGTCTGTACCTTGTGACCGGAATGTCCCTCCATGTCATCGTAGCTCCTTCTCTCAACAGTCTTCGGTACCTTTTCCTTGCTTCTACTCGAGTTGCATCTGGCAATCCAACATTTGGCACTTCAACTTCTCCTGGTACTGGTTCCTCGTCCGAGACTGCAGCCAACATGGCAAGCTCGAGATAGCCGGTTTCGGCCTCTCTTTCAGGTTCCTGATGTTCACCCTGTTGTTCCATGCTGCTGATTTGTTTCCCTTTTCCTTTGGATTTTCCTCCTTTACCTTTGCCTTTGTTGTTGTTGCTGTTGTTAGGAGGTGATCTGCAATCCTTCTGGTAATGTCCAGCCTTTCCGCAGTTGAAACAAACCACGGACAGGCTTGAGCCAGAATTGCCACCATGTTTCCCTTGCTTTCCACTCGACTTACCTTTTCCTTTATCTTTAGCTTTGCCTTTGCCTCCATGTTTGCCTTTACCTTTGGAACCCTTTCCACCTTTCTTGCCTTTTCCTTTGCCAAATCCTCCAATGTCCATGTCATCTTCACCTTTCGGTTTGCTGCCAAGTGACTCGATTTTGAGCCTCACTCCAACTCTTGTTTCAAGGTAGCTGGCGAGTTCGGCATGCATGTCATCGAAGTCCAAGAAACGACTTCTGTTAAGTTGTAGGTGTCGTTCGACTTCTGCAGGGCACATGGACTCCAAGATCGACATCTTGATGTCCTGAGCTATGCTCTGTCTATTTCCTGCGCTGTCCTTTCTGCTCTCGTAGCGGTTCACAAGCTCCATCCATCCTTCAATCCTCTCACTGAGTTCCTCAAGCTTGCATTTTCCTGGATTCAAGATGTGCCTCAAGAGTGCCGATTTCTTGGCACCAGTAGAGGGATCGTATCGGCGATTGATACGTCGCCAGGCCTCGAGTCCATTGGCCTTTTCTGTATTCCTCAAAATCATGAACGGTTCTCCCTCGAGTAGATTCTGCAACACAGAATAAATCTGTGCGCTCTTGTCCTTCAGGTCATCCACTGGACTAGCCGTGCCCACGCCGAAAGCAGCTTGGGCCCGAGCTTCCGTCACAGTGTTTTCCTGTTCTTCACACCAATTCAGTACTTGCTCCATCTCCGGGAACACTGAAAACATGAATGACTCTGTCTTGATTCTCCATCTGAGATAGCTCTCACTCTCTTTGCCACTGAACTTATCCGGCTTTCCGATTCCTCTATTGTCCACTAGGTTGATTTTCTTTTCGTCTTTCTTCATTGCGTTTGCGACTTCTGTCTGTGCTGTTGCTAGTGCTTGAATTGCGGGTCCCATCTGTGCTCCTGCCGCTTCCAGTCCTTGCATGCGGCCTTCCAACAGAGCGTTCTTTTCTTGGCTTTGCTGGAGCAATTGTCCAAGCTGATTCACTCGATCCGCCAACTGAGCTAACTGCTCTTCCGGGGTAGCCATTGGTATCACTTACCCAAGGAGCCCTTTACCGGAGCCAGTGCTCCGCTACCACTTTCAGAAAATATGCGCAGCAAACAGCACACTCAACTATTTTACCCTTGAGCCAAAACATACGTACAACACAGTGGTTGTGTGACAATTATGTGGAGGTGTAAATTTCAACATATATATATATATATATATATATTATATATATATATTATATATAATCAGATAGACACATTTTACACTGTTCGGTTACTGGGAATATATTGAGGATAGTCTAATCCTTATATAGTAAATCAAACATCATTTAGATTCATTGAGTATCATTTGCCAATGATTAACCCCCCGTATGTTGCTGGTTAAAAGCCATATTTCATGGTGATACCCGGCAAAAAAAACAACTTCAGCTTTTTTCAGCCGCGGATCTGCGGCATCCTATGATGGGGATGATTGGGATTTTGATGGGTAAATACGTATTTACCTTGGCCCGACTGTTGGGGATGTCTGCCAATCTCCAATTTTTGGGGTGTTTGAAACATCTTGAAACCACCAACGCCACCGTTTAACTTGGAGCTGAATGTCCTGCTGCATGTTGCAGCTTGGGAAGTGCAGATCTGGGAACCAGTCGAAGCACCTGCTTCAACAGCAAAGCTGGCTGCTTGATAAAATCCATCAATACATGGAGGTTTCCTGAAATGGGGGTACCTCTTAATCATCCATTTTAATTGGGTTTTCCATTGTAAACCATCCATTTGGGGGTACCATTATTTTAGGAAACCCCCACATGGACTGATGTTACAAACCCATATGTTTCTTGTTTGCGTGCAAATTAGGGTATATTAGGGCTATACTGTACTGAACCATCAACCCAAATTGGGGATGGCAAAGCATATGCGAGAAAAAGCAGATAGTGTGTATTTCATCAGGAATCGCTTTCTGGGCATTCAATGGTATTCCATTTTCATCCATTTTCCAAGAACCTCAGTCAATCACGTATATAGTCGTGTGATGATTTATGAATCCGAGACTGACACTATCAAACTTTTCGAAGGTAACCAGGCTGGGTCACAAAGGGTACATAAAACCGTGCCAGGAAAGACTTGAATGCCAAAACAAGTGTGAATTCAAATCTGCAGAATGATGTTCTCTAACACCATTTCTGTTGGGGGATGTTGGGGGTAATTGCTAATTACATTTAATTACCGATTTTCCTACTTCAAATATCCGCAAGAACTTTCTTTCTACAGAGACCCAGGCCGCATGCAGAACCTCGAGCATGGCATCTCCATATCTGCCCTTGATCTCCGAAGTGAGTGAAACCTCCAGGCATCGCACATCGGAGATGGACCCAAAATCTGGCTGGTGTTTGGGAGATAGACACAAGCGTTGCATGTGTGATCTTGGAGTCTTGGTGAGAAAACACATGACACGAAGTCTAGACCTGAGATGAGCTAAAGATTCCATCAAAAACATCAAAGATGCTAGTTCTGAATCAGCTAGACCTGCGACCACATAGCCAGATTTGATCAAATCCCTGGCATTCATGATCCTATGTTACATGTTGATGTATGTGCGCATGTACTGTATATTATCACATACATATATATATATTATATATATATATATTATATTTCTATATTTGTATCAACGCGGCCACAATGGTCATATCATTCATACCGTAATGTAAAATCAAACTATACCAAACCCATCCAAAACCTATATCCCACACAGGAGTGATGAATTGCTGTTGTTTTTTTTGACAAAATCGTCGCCCTATTTCCGGTCAACATCAATCCCTCTCCATCTTGGCCCATCGTGGTAAGGCGAGGAGCCCTGGATTTGGACAGAGGGAGGTGTGCCACCACCTCATACCAGATCTCTTGCGCAAAAAGGTTGCTGGCCGGTCGCCTGTACCTCACAAACCCCCAAGCTGCTGTGGATGCTGGACCAGCTGGATGTTGATCCCCCCAAAAGATGCTAGTTCCAAATCATAGGTTTGATCCATCTTCATAAATCACCAGCATTTGCAGTTGGAGTTGGAGATTCAATGAGAATGATTCTGATGATTCTGATGATGATGATGATGATGAGGAGGAGGAGGGTACAGTCGTTGTCATGATCACTATCATTGTCATTGACATCATCATAATTGTCATTCTAAATAAAAAGTTCCAGGCAATGCTGAAGCAAAGCATGCTGAGATGGTGAACCACATGCGCAAGCAACTGCCACGCTATGGACAGCAAGTGGCACATGGTGACAGCTCAACCGCCATCACCACGGCAATCTGAAAGGGCATGACCAGATACGCAAAGCATTTGCAAAAGGGGATGCAAATACAAACCAACACACCAAACTACACAGGGAATAAATATAGTAATTAAAAATGAACAGATGAACAATGCTGGGGGAATTGGTGCGAACTAAAATATCACATCAATCTCCCGCAGCTAGGAGCTGGAGTGATAGGCAGCGAAGATCCAGCTACATCAGCTCCACATGCTAGACCCATGTTCAACCCCAACCGTCTGCGGTTTAAATTCTTATTTTCTATTCATGTTCCCTAGAAACAGAAATTAAGTATCAGAATATATCAGATTTCCCCATGGAAGTAAAGAAAATATGAGAAAATATCAAAGTCTTTAGGGAACTGAAAATGAATCTTTATTCCCAAAAGATATCAGATTTCCCGAAACATGGTCCAGATCAGCTCCTTGCAGCCCAAGCACAGTTTGATGCGGATGGCCCAGGGCTCTTGCGCATGCGGGATGCCAATGGGCACCTCAGCCACAGCCTTGGGCCCAGAAAATTCCAGTCGAATCTCTCGCAGCCGAGACTTGTCGGGTCCATCCTGGGGCGACCGAAAAAAATGGGAGTTGTCGCATTGAAATGGCTTGTCAAAAAAATGGTGAAAACACCAATCGGCTAAGATCGGTTAATTATCATGTTTCCAATGGCAACTTGGTGATATGCACCACACCCAAATGGACCCATGATGTTCATGCGCCATGGAGATCAGGAGCTTCAGCCAAGAGGATGAAGACCCAAGCTGGATTCGGCATGGAACTGACTTTCATAAATGCAGGTCCTGAATTCATGGTGCTTTCCTAAAATCAATGGCCATTTCAGGTACCTAAACTGGAGGTACTCCGTACCACATAAACCCATATTTGGGTTGGTATTGCAAAACCTGTTCTTCACACAACCAAAACAACATCATTACTTCACATCCCGTTCTCCTTTTTCTCTCCTCGTGGACCATCAAACAAATCCGGTAGATACCAACTCTCGCCCTGTGCGTTATGACCTTGTTTCTTGGCATATCTATGTGATGTATAGACCATCCCATGCAAATAGGAGGTTACGGCAAACCCCACTTTGGAGCCGCCTGGGAACTTAGGAACTTAGCTGGCACTTAGCTGGCACTTAGGTTACTTAGGTTTGAGGGCTTGCTAAGCTTAGCCTCGCTTAGAGGATTTTTTTTTTTTTGGTGGTGCACATGGCTTTTCTACAGGTCTAAAAAAAATATCTTCATGCCATGATAAACGAGGAATTAAAATATCCATGCATGTTTTTCTTCTAAAACCTGGATCCTAAATTGCTAGTGTGCTGACCGTGCAACCCATGCGATCTGCAGATGATGGCCAAGATTCCACCTGATCAAGTCCGATGACATTGGAAAAACAGTTCTTTGAAAACTAAGCTGAACTTGCCGGTCAGACCCCCATCCCACCCATTCTTATTTTCCCCTGCCGCGCGTCAAGATGTACTCAACAAAACTTGGCCGAAGCAGCCAAGGCCGACATCTTCCTAAAGACTAAGACGCAACCTATAATATTACACAGCCGAAACAGCTGCTATACACCCGAAACAGCTGCTTTACAGCCGAAACAGCTGCTTTGCAGCCAAAATACGGCTGACTCAGTCCTCCAACGCGTCCCAAACATTTTCTTCTTCGTTTTTTCCCCTTGCTCCGACTCGCCTTCTTCTTGATCCTGGTCCTCTGCACCGTCGTCTTCGCGAGGCCGCTTGTTTCCGCTCTTTGCTTTGGCCTTGGATTTCTGTTTTGCCTTTGGCTTGGACTTGGGCTTACTGGCAGCGCCTTTGGCTTTGGGCTTTGGCTTTGGTTTTGGGTTAGGCACTGCGACAGTCTCGGCCGTGCCATTTCCAAGGGCGGTGGAGTAGGCAGAAGAAAAGAGTGGGCTGCTGGGGTCCACCATCTCTTTCTGAAGTCGCTGCAGCATCCTTTTCTCAAGGGTTTTTGCGTGGGTGTCGTTGTAGCAAATTCCGCAATAGCCAAGTCGTTGTCTCAAGCACACGAACGCCAGCTTCCCGTCGGCGGGCGTCATGTCCACTACGCTCTTCGCGTAGTATCCATGGAGAATCTCTTCCAATAAAGCTTCTGGTGCGCTGTGGTAACAAAATGGCTCTGCTTCATTGTTTCCGCGGTTCCCCTGCTTTCCTTCATCGCCTCAGTTGTTTACCCGGCTCAGTATTACCATGCAGCTCCTTTTCGCCATATTTGTGTATGAAGCAATGAACGAAAGGGTAAGCTCCATCTCCGGCGGTTTGGTGGAGATCGAAGTCGGGTGGATGTTTTGTTTGCCTGTCTGACAGGACGCCACCACAATCCAGAACCAGTACCATACTTGGCCGAAACAGCCAGCAGCTTCCCAGTCGAAACAGCTGGACACACCGGCCGAAACAGCCGGGAGTCAGACGCGATGTTTGAACTGGAAATGGCTTCGGACAATCAACGTACTGAGCTATATCGATACTAATCGGGATGGCTTTACGACAATTTGTGCTTTCTTCGGGGAATAATCATTCATTTTGAGAAAATGGAAAATAGCAGAAGAGCATCAAGAGTGCAGTCTAGCTCATCCAGACATAACAAATGCATGTCTCAAGTTCAATGACTTTGATCAAGATTAGGAAAACTACGTAAATTCAAAATTTGATCAAGATTAAGCTACGTAAGTTCACGGGTAGTCGATCTGAAAATTGTTTTTTTTGATGGTGGGAAAATGATAAATGTATGAATTTCGCGGGCTCAGGCGGGCAGTACCGCTGCAGACCACTAAGTGTCCGGGACCCTGTGTAAGGAGAGGTCAGTTCGCCCTCTCCTTACACAGTTCGGGGACGCGCCCAACCTGCCTAAGGAGCGGCAAAAAGAGGGCAGATGGTCAAAAAACCAACCCGCGTAGCGGAATTTTTGTTTCGCCCTCTCTTTGACAGCTCCTTACACAGTTCGGGGACGCGCCCAAGTTGCGTAAGGAGAGGTCAGGCCGCCCTCTTCTTACACACTACCCGTGACCCAAAGTGTACTGTCCACCCTCCCAAGTTAAGTTGGCAAATGCTGTCGCCGAAATTTTCGCATAAGTGAACGCACTCTGTTTATGATTTTTGAATTTCATTAGGAAGTTAGTTAACCTAACGTTGGTCCATGTTATTATGATTTTGATGCACTTTGGATGCACTCGATATATGATACCTTTCGATGTGCTTTTTGCAAGTTTCATTTTATTCAAAAAAACATACAGAAACATGTTCCAATTTCATCCATGCGTTAAATTTATCAAAAACTTATAAAGTCAATTTACTATGCAGAGTTACGGTATACCCATTGTATAGTGACAATTTTTACACCTGTTCGGGGACATCCCCAGCACACCCTTCCTTTTCTTCCGGTTGTACTGGCCGTTGCTCCGGCTGAAGCAGCCCTGTAGGGGAAAATATAAATTAACAGAGCCGCGCGTCATCTTAGTGCCAAGCCGAAGCAGCGGGCGAAAATCCTATTATATAATAAATGCCCTGACAAAGTTAGATTGAAGCCGACACAGCCTCTGAAACAGCCTCTGAAACAGCCTCTGAAGCCGAAACAGCCTCGACCGTCGACAGCCCCTGAAGCCGAAACAGCCCCTGAAGCCGAAACAGCCTCTGAAGACCACCAGCACTCAGTGCACAGAAGATTGAACCTTTTTGAACATGTCTTCAAACCATTCCTCCCGCATTTTGGACCAAGTAAAATTGCTAAACTCATCTGGAACATATTCCAAAACGCTGATGAGCCGGATCGCCGCTTGAAACTCCTTTTTGGTGAAGTCAGTCAAAGGAACGCGTCGTTGCCCCGGTGACATCTGTGGCATTGCGGTCATGAGGTGGCTGCCTGGGCACTTGTCCATGGGAAGTAAACGAATGGTAGTCAGGATGTCCAAATCTATCATGATCTGCCCTGCCCATTCGTCGTTCATCTCCTTCTCATCAGTTAAATGAGAAAAGCACCAAAACAATCCATTTCTGGTGCACTCGATAGCACTGTCCAGATCCTGAACTCCAAACACTCTGGCCGGCTGCTCTTTCACAAAGGAGCGCGTCTTGTGCGCGTAATCCAAAAAAGCAGCATCATTTGGCGTTGTGGCCGCCATTCTGTTTACTTCTTTTGCCCAAAGACACAGACAGAATCGAATGTATTAGAAGGAACCAGAGACTGCAAATTATCTGGTAAATGACATGCAGAATGCTTAACAGGGTCAGGCCAGGACGACTCAGAGCAGTTAAGTTGAAACCTATTAAGTAAGTTGAGAGTTGCGAGCTTGCAGCCAAGAACCTGCAGAAGGATCCTCTGGGTTCAATGGGAAACGGCTTTGCCACTGTTCTCGCAGCCGCTCCCATTTAGCAGTTGCCGATTTCAGCAACATAACTCGTAAAAAAGGCCGAAGCAGCCTTTCTCTGATTATGGCCGAAGCAGCCAGTATCAGTAACTCTGCAACAGCAAACTGAAGCCAAAGATATGCGGGAGCAGAAAAACGAGAAAAACAAATATCTCCCCTCATGGCAAAACGAGTGTTTTTTAAGTTTTTGACAACAAATCCCAAAAATGGCCGGAACAAAAATTACAAAATTCCTCTAAGCAAGGGCAAGTAAGTGTGAGCTAAGTGGCCGCTAAGTGAGCTACGTGATTTGCATGGTTTTTTTAAGGTTTAGGTAAGTTTAGGTGGTTTCTTTTTTTTGAAGATTTGGATGTTTTTTTGGGTTAGTCAGGTGAGGAGGCAGCTTTTTTTCTTCATGATGATGTTGCATGGTCAGCGCAAAAGCCAAAGACCATCTTGATCTTCACGTAGCAAACGCATTGGTTCTATGTGCATCAGTTTTGATGCAGGCAGGATTTGTTTGGGGCCCCGTAGGCGTTTCCATTTTAGAATGAATTTCTCCGTCAGGAAAGGCTGCAATATTTGCACCACGGCATAGAAACGCACAGAAATCGAAATCCCACGGTCTTACTCCTTGCTTCGGGGTGGTTTTGGTCTCCAAGGCCGCAGACATCTGTCAAAAGTAGAAATTCATTAGTTTCTCCTTCCGCAGACATCCGCAGACATGTGACCGCATGCAAAGCAGCCGTTTTCCTTGGTCGCAGACACTCGCAGACACAGCGGCAAGTCATTCCGAAGCACTTTGGCCTGGTTCGCAGACATCCGCAGACATCTGCCCAGAGAGGCTCAAACGTCCGCAGACATCCGCAGACATCCGCAGACAGAGGATGTTTAGAGGTTCGCACGATATGCAACGCTATTATTCTGCTTCTTTACGCAATCCGTAGACTGCGTCTGGCTTCCCATAGAAGCCAGGCACTGCGTCGGCACCACTGAAACTCTCGGCTGCGATCCGGCTTCCGAGAGAAATGCCAGGCCAAGATGTTCAACCATTTGCTGCAGCGATATAACTCCGGCGCCAAATGGACTTGCTTCCACTGCACATGGTCATACCATGCGCTTGTCGCTTCCTTGTAGGAAGCGGGAAGCAGACAAAGGCCACTGATTTTGGGATGCGGCGGAAGATCTACGGACATGCCTGAAAACCAAAATGCCTGCAAAACGTACCTGTTTCCGTCCTACCAACCAACAAACCTCAGAAAACATAGGTTCGCGATTCGAAGCTAAGTGCCAGCTAAGTGCCAGCTAAGTCCAACTCACTTAAATTAGCAAACTTATATGTACCCCTAAGTTAATAGTAAGTGCCACCTAACCTCTAACCACTTAGCAGCCACTTAACCACTTATGAAGCAACTTAGACATAACTTATCCACTTATAACTGCACTTACATGATAACTTATAGGTCCCGAAGTCCCAGGCAGGTCCAAAGCACCTTCCCAGCCTTGGATACCCTTTCAAATAGCGTTTCCTGGAAGATGACCTCTTCATCTCACCATCCGGCTGTACATAGCCATTCCCATCAAAGTTTCCAAGCAATAATCATCAAAAGAACTTAAAATTCATGAAACATCAGAAACTGACATATCATCTACCAAGGATCATCTCCCCAGTAATCACAATTGGAAACATTCAGCAACGAATTCTACCAAGGATCCCCTTCGGTCAAGGCCGCCTGTGGCCCCACGTAAGCTTTACAGCGCAGGTGTTCTGCCGCGATCCCATGATCTAGGCGAAGCTCCTCTGGAACCACGACTCGGTAATACCAAAATTCGGTGTTTTCAAATGGGCGACATTGACAGTACGTGATACTCTGATACTGTATATATTTTATCTACCTCTGTGTATACATAATATTATATTTTATTAAATATGTACTTGAGATGATATAAGGGTATGATTTAGCGATATTATGGATGCTCATTGCAAGCATCACAAATCATCTCTATCAATAAACAACGTGATCAAATGAGGTAATGGTTGATCCCAGCAAAATTCATTGGTCAAATGGGGTCGATAAGCCGATATATGCCGATATTATCTGAGTGATTTGGATTATTTTCCTTACTTCACCTTGAATTTGGGTGAAGCGTATCCAAATGGGGTATTCAACCAAGCTGGAAGAATTTAATTTTGGATGAGTCTCCTTACTTGACATCGCTTATGGTGACTATTCTGTTGTTAAATTCAACCGAATATCAAACCCCCATTGATCATTGGGAGTGGCGATTGGACTGCAACCACTGATCAATTGCCTTACTGTACATGTGAAAGCATGGATAACATATGGAAGCATGACTTCGAGGAATTCTGACGCCAGAAATGACAAAAAAATGTCTAGTTCTGGGCCCAACTCCAAACCGAAATCCCAGCCGAGACACAGTGACGTCCCATCGAAATTTCTACAAGCGACATGTCCACTGATCCACACTGATCCCACCAAAATCCCGAAATCCAGGGCTCCGAAAATTCGATTCTGATCTTCTCTTCAACATTTGCCAGCACCTTCGCTTCAGGTAGCATGACGAATGACAAAAACAGTTGGTTCAAGGTGCCTCGGGTGAGAAGATTTGTTGAGCTCAGAATCATATGGAATCATCCTAAATGGCAATGTGGATCAAAACCTCTACTCAAAGATCCAAAACAAAGATGGGATTTATGGATCTGGGTAAATTTAATGGTAAATTTAATGGTAAATTCTCCTAATTCACGAACCTCAAACTTGCGGCCGTTTGGGGATGATTCCCCGTATACCAAGATTCAGGGATGTTCATCCCCACAATCTCCAAGGCAGACTGCAGGATTTGACCCACCCACAACTTTAATCCCAGGGAGATTTGCGAACTAGATTGTTTTCCGCTTTTTATCTTTGAGATCCTTTGAAGGTTCTGATGGCTTCATGATATGTATATATATATGCTGTTTTTATGAAATATTACATCATATTAGTCATTCATATATTACATTCATATATTATAGATTGATATACATCCAATAGGATGTCCAGCCCATCAAATTCTGTCAGTGGGATTCACCAGAGATTCAATCTCGGCACCGCGTGCGTGAGATGTGCCAGATGCAGCGTGTCCTCTGTACTTTTGGCCGCGGAATCCCATGCTACCGTGACATGCGCCGCCCCCGACGGCCCTGCTTTCATCTCTTGGGCAATGGCTGGCGACGGAGAGGTTCTGCAACTGGGTAGTCAATCATTTTTCGGATCTAAAAGTATCATAACGTATCCATATTTTTGGTAGTCTAATAAACCCAAGCAAAAGAACAAACTGAGCCTGGGACTGGATGGCTATCCCGGTATCTGTGTCTTGAATTTAGCTTCAAGTGCTGTCCAAGCTCCTAGCTCAAATTTTCAGCGTACAGCCCTACCACTGGGATCTCTACAAAGAGATTCTCAAATCGACGAACTTCAGATTTGGATCCCCATTTCAGCGGCAAATGGCCCGTCATTGTCGGTATTGACAATCCATTTGGCGGGGCACCATGGGTTAGCACAATTTTGCCCTACCTATTTTTAGAAATATGCATGGAAAGCTTGTGGGAGATATCGGAAACCACCACCGCATGCAACAAAGGGGGTTCAACTATCAACAATCCGAATGCAATATGCCTACTAGACAAGGCTAGACTAGACTGGACTAACATCTCAATTTTGGTATGGATGTGCTGTATACCTATCGAATTGTATCAGGTTTCGTATCCTATCCTAATTAAGAAACTGGGGATGTGGGTATGGTCAAGATGGAAGACTGTGGAGGCCAGATGTTGGTCATTGCAGCACCTATCCAAATATGGAGGTTTAGGTTTCCTGAAATGGTGGTACCCCAAAATGGATGGTTTACAATGGACAATCCTATCCAAAATGGATGATTTAGGGGTACCACTTTTTTAGGAAATATCCATGTATCATATATCAAATATGTAATTATTCAAATCATCCCCAAGTGGAGGTGTACGACATTGGGTTCACCACATTATCTCCACATGGTTAATGTCCCCCATGTTTGTCGTGTGATATACTGTATCAATTTACAAGCGGATTTATGCATACGGAAGTGCGGAAGCTTATGGACTTCAAATCAATGAAATATCAGAGACTTACAGTAACATTACATGGGACTCTCACATCTTCAAATCATTCAAATCACGGAACATAAAAAACAAATCCAGATCCTGACTTGGTCTCAAACAAGTGCCTGGCTAAGCCCGGCTCAGCACCCGAAGCACCAGGAGGATCCCGGGAGCTCACCCGCGCGTGTGCGCTTTCGATGACCCACGGCGGCCTCAGTTTCCAGTCCAGGTGAGGTACGGGAAATCGAACGTGGAACCCAAGAAAAAGGCAATAGCCAATATCCAAAATTCTCTGAATCCCAATTTTTTATGATGATCTGAAATTTAGGCTGGGTTATATATTTTATTTCTTTTGCAACCCCCATCTAACTGCCAGATGACCCTAGTCTGAAGGGACCGACAGAAACGCTCCAGAATCGCTCGATCTCTCACGGACAATGGCGATCTACACTCGATGAACATTTGCGAGTTGTATCAGGTACAAGCTAGCCGCATTAGTTGGCCTGGGACATTTCCTTGCTCCTACAATGACAGCCTCATACTCTTGATTGATCATAAACCCAATCAGAATCCCAGTTGAAGCTCCCAAAATCATCAAACTGCAAGTACTTGAGTTTTTGGGATTACCTGTACATCATAATCCCATTAGAGATACAAGTTCCATCGAGTCCCTGAGAATCAGCACCAGTTCATGACTGCTATGACCAGTACGGCCACCTTGGCGTCATGGAACACCGATATTGAGCCATAAATGGCTATATTTATACGGCCACCATTTATAATGGCTACTTATTGAATCACCATTTATAGCCATCAATGACTTCACTTTTCTATTTCTTCTTGGTTTGCTATAAATGGAATAAATCGAAATCAAGCATTTTTGGGATGATCCCACTTACCAACCATCATGCATCACATACCTCCTTCCTCCCAACCAACTCACGCTGTTTGCCAAACCCTGTGTGTGCACCTCCCTCATCCCAGATTGGTCGATCCCCAATGTATTTGGCCCACTTAGATCCACTTTTTCCATCAACTTCCAATTGGCTTGGTAGTTCTTAAACTTCACTGTTTGTTGCTTCAGACTCCCATTTGCTTGGTGATACTCCGACCCCTTTTTTATCGCTTGATTGAGGTCACTTGGCATCACCTGGCCCTTGAATGACCACTTGCCAATGACAAAATGGTTCCTTCATGATTCATGTTTACTTCATGTTACTTCAATATTGATGATTAAGTTAAGGGGCTTGGCCTCAAAATAAAGGAATGAGAAAACCATATATTGGATGGTTTGGAAAATATTCTTTCGAGTTCCAAATATTACTGTATGCCATGGCATTTCATTGTTTGCAAGTGATATCTCGCATCATATATCCAATTATATCCAATGAATTCAATGAATCTATCCAATTGCAACCTCCCATTATCCGATTTAGCACGGTGTTTTGATATGTGCAAAACAAATGCACATATGTTTCATCGCTTCATTTCATAATATACCCATCAATTATCATTGTACGTCCAATGGCTTAGCATCCCCCCTATGCATGTAGATGTTCATCAGTGGGTATACATCAATGAATCTTCATGGACATTAAATGCAACATAAATGTATATGTATCCGTACATATATATGTGTATATATATACATACATATATATATATATTACATACACATACACATATTTATAATATATATATATATATACATATACACATATTTGTATACATATACAATGGCAGTTTCCTAAAATGTGGTGATTGTTTTCCCCAGTTCTCATCCAAGTCATCAACCGCCGGGCCGCCGGGCCATCAAGCCGATACCCAGCAGCCGCACCAAGCCACGAGCCTTGATGGATTGGAAAAGTTGATTTGAAAGACTTCGAATGTGGATGTTGTTTTCAGTGATCAGTGGGTTTAAGATGGTTGAAACCAATGAAATGTGGATTCGGTTGCAAAACCATATGATTTCACATGCAATGGGAATGAGAGCTGGCAAAATGGGGATTGCACCTGGTTCCTATATTGGTCTCTGCCAACTTTATGCGTCCACGAATAATGACCCAGCTCGTATGAGCTCTTTGGAATCATTGGATGATTCAGTCCAGCAACAGCATCTGCTTCTATCGCAAAACCGCTCGTGAAAAAGAATCATCATTCACCTCATTGTGGAGTAACTGAGGTGGTAGACCCCGCTATAATTTTCTGTCGCTGGGATATTTCATACATTTTTGTACCCAAAAGACTGATCTGGATATAGTGGAAATTCACCAATCAGGTTAAGGTTCGGGAAATTGGGGGTTAGTTCGCCCTACATTCACCATATGGAGGTTCCCTAAAATTGGGGTACACCAAATCATCCATTTTAGTAGGATTGTCCATTATAAACCATCCATTTGGGGGTACCTGCACCCCCATTCCAGGAAACCCCAATATGGTCTCATTATTCCAGTGACACTCTCATCCGGGAGGCTGTAGAGGCGGCGCGATACATCATGCGCTCAGCAGGCCTGCCGAGAAGGCGGAAATATGTGCATTACCCTCTGGTAATTTAATATAGCTATTGAAACTCCTCATGATTAATAGGTATATCAGCTATTTCTATGGGCCATTTTCAATAGCTATGTTAGTTTACCAGAGGGTATCCATGACAATGGGGAAACATGGCAGTTACAGTATGATATGTCTTCCCCTAGGGTAAACTAATGTAGGTGTGGAAAATCAATGTTTTCCCAAGGAAACTGATCTACAAATTGTAATTGTTGTTGTTGTTGTCGTTGTGGTTGTGGTTGTCGTTGTAGTCGTTGTAGTTGTTGTTGTCGTTGTTGTCGTCGTTGTCGTCGTTGTCGTCGTTGTCGTTGTCGTTGTCGTTGTCGTTGTCGTTGTTGTTGTCGTTGTCGTTGTCGTCGTTGTCGTCGTCGTCGTCGTCGTCGTCGTGGTTGTGGTTGTTGTTGTTGTTCTTGTTGTTGTTGATGATGATGATGTTGTTGTTGTTTTTTCCACATCTATGTTGGTTTGCCCTACGGTATGTATATATATATATACACATTATATACATTGATATCTGTAAAAAAAACATATTATACTATATACAAATGTCATATTGCTGGGTATTAATAACAAGAAACATATTTACCAGTATATTTTCATATACTGAGATACCAACGCCATTTGGTGGATATGTTGAAACAGGAACCCCTACCATGAGCTCAGGTTGTCCCTCAAATGTCCCGTCCTGCATCGTGAAAGCGTGCCGCGTGACTGGCAGTTCCCTAATTTTGTTGGCCAAAAAAAGACATACTCACAGCAACTAGGTATTAATGTATATCAATGTATTAAGTTATATCTGACTTATCTGAGTATTCTCAATAGTCCGGATTGCGGCAAATCCTTTCGCAAAAATCCTCTGATTCAGCAACCATGCTGGAAATCTGGACACCAACTACCTGGGTCACATGAAGATAAGCTGCTATTGCCTTTTCAGCTTCCAAGTCATTCTGCCACATTCTGCAAAATAAGAACTCCCTGCTATCATGGTCGTGTTTAAGCATCCAACTATCTTTGGTCTAGGACTATATGTATATAATTGGTATCAATTTGTAATTGTTGATATGTCTTTGGGTCAAAAATTGAGCGAAGAGGAACGTGGTTCCCAAGGCGTCCCGACGACTGCACGTCGCGGGCATCGCGGTCAACGCCTGACATTTGGGATACGTCGGGTACCCTAGGGAAAATGAGCATAGATATGGCGAAAGACCATGACGAACCCCCAGGAAAATCATCTACAAAAGGTGGGTGTTCCACATCTGTGTTAGCTTACAGGATAGTATTTGTTCACATCTTCCGGGGTGCAAAAACTCTTCAAGGATGTGACATGATAACCAAGGAAGCTAACCTCACAAACAGCTGAAGATCGCAACTTGACTTCCTCTGCTGCTGCCCAGAAAGGAGGCGGTAGATGAGCATGAAACAAACAGAACAGATTTATGTACCGTAGAACCTATGGCAAGAGATAGATGGCTAGTTTATTATCTCTTTTTTTTCTCCCCCCAGCATCCCTCTTGGCTGTTTACT